ACATGAAATAGATACACTCATTGGAAAGGATTTTAAACAATACAGTTAATCATCATCCTCCTCCATTGACTTAAACATCGAATTACTGGCATTTTGTACAGATTTCAACATACAGTTTTTCGTAGTGGAAACAAAGTAATAATGGTAATGAAATATGTTGATAGTACAATAGATTTCAACCGATTCATTCTAAAGGTCCATTTAAACATTATCTTAACCCCTTAATAACTGAAACTAATTAACAAAATAACTAACTGACTAAATACAAATTTATTTATTTACAAAACTATTCACTTATATTCATATATCACCTCAAACATATTTCCGTATTTAAAATTTTACTGTTTTATATTTTTAAACATACGTAACTCTCAACGCATCATATTCCTGATCGAGTTAACTTAACTTGTACGAAAAAGATTTGCATTGAAAGTTACAGTTCCATTTAACGTCTTCAGTAACAAATTTTTGTGATTACCACAAACGCTTTAACAAAAGTTTTCACTTTTAAGCAGATTGCAATGTTTGAAACAGTTGTTATGGGATTGTTTCGCTCATCGCATCCTAATATCCCTTAATTGATTTAGAAATGAAATTCGAAAATCATTATTCACACACTAAGAAAATGATTAGATACTTTGTATGATCTGAACAGAGCTTTCATCAATAGTCAGCACTCATTGAAGAACGACTAAAACAAAATAACAGTTCAACAGGTGTCGTTAAATACGCTGATATTGTTCAATCAGTGAAACTGTTTTCAATGGTTTTTTAACTGATCACAATCAAACTAGTTATCTATGCATACATATATATTACTACTCATCAATATGCAAACAATTTGGAAAATAAAATTACTATTTTGACTTGATTTTTGATCACTGACTACTACTACTACTACTACTACCGTAGTGAACGAGAACACAGGCGGGGCAACCGGACTGTATTTATCGAAAATTACAGAGTTACTCAGTAAAATAGGAAAACCATTTCGTTAATTGTTAATTGGCAAAATATCAGTTCATCAAATCGAATTGGACTGTTCCTGTTGCAAAACATCAATCCATTGTCACTATACATGCGTTTCATACAAATTCCATTGTGTTCTAACTCTTCCTTACTTGATCTTCCCCCATCTTATGCTGCCAGACATTACGTTGACACTCACGTCATATATAACTTATAAGTAGCGCGCACCACACTACTACTACTACTAATTAGACTATCGTTTATATATGATGAATCCTTGGCTACATTTCAAAGTATTTTCAAATCTGCAGCACACACAGCTACTACTGTAGTGAAGGAGAACACAGGTGCGGGCAACCGAATTGTATTTAACGAAAATTACAGAGTTACTCAATAAAATAGGAAAACCATACCGTAACCGTTAATTTGCAAATCTTCAATCAATCATCAATCCATTGTATGACATTTCACTATTCATGCGTTTCATACGAATTCCATTGTGTTCCCACTCTTCCTTACTTGATCTTCCCCCAACTTCTGCCGCCAGACATTACGTTGACACACACCTCATATACTACTTATAAGTAGCGCGCACCACACTACTACTTCTACTACTACTAATTAGACTATCTTTTATATATGATGAATCCTTGGCTACATTTCAAATTATTTTCAAATGTGTAGCATAAACTTTTGACTGAGATAATTTATTCAAGTAATTTAAATTGAAAATGATGAACTTTAAGCTACTTTAATTTGTTTTTGATATTATGAGATGATTGAAGAAGCCCGATTTTGAATAGAAAACTAAACTTTTCACTTAGTTCATACCTGTGGATTCAATTTATGAAACAGTTACTTAGTTTATTAGTCTAACTATCCGATACATGAGTAGTTATTAAGCAATAATTCAAAATAATGTTTCAGAAAAGTAAAAAAACTAAGCTATTATTGAGTAAATTCAACAGTGTATATCTTTAGAAATGATATCTGTCATAGAAAAACTAGTTTGCCAAATTTTCAAAATAAACCTTTTTTAAACTACTTATTGTATGACACATGTAACAAACATCTTTTACCAGTTAGACAAGTTTTATGCTTGCAACATGTGCAGATATTAGCTTAGCGTTTTACTCTAATTAAATACAACTTTAAATAATGTATTGTTGAATTATGTGTTTTGAATTCTATTCGATGTTAGTGACAATTTATTGGCAAGTTTAAACAATTATAAACAGTTAGACAGTTTGGCTCATTTATTCGTCATACATTTCCAGCATTAATAAAAAATTTAACCTATTTCTTATCTATCACTAGAATCCATAATAACATAATGATGTTATAGTGTGAATTGAAACAGTGAAAACACAATTAGTTAACAAAAAAAGGACTGTAATGTGTCATTTTTAAAGAATATCCTTAGATAAAAAGTGAAATATTCAGATGGAATTTATCAAAACCAAATAAATTATCTCTTCAGTATGAAAGCAACCGTTTGTTGACAAGTGTAGTGAAATGAGAGTCGTCACTATTATAATACCTAGATATTTAGAGGAAGTGTTTTCTTAGTATTCCGAAATGTTAATTACCGGCCTGAACAGCTCTATCTTTTTGATGCTTAGAAGTGTCTAAAGCAGTCGGTTGAATTCAGTCTAACTCCCAGGTTGTGATTATGCTTTCATTTGTCACTGGGTATCCTAATCTGATTCATTTCAATACAAGCATTATCTTTTTGAACTATAATATACTTTCCAAAAGGAAGTCAACATGATTAAGTATTGCGTTTTTGCTTTGTATTGTCTGCACATTTATTCATTTCAAATAACGGAAGAATGCCAGGTTCAAGCAGGAGTCATTAGTCATTACTCCTGAAATATCTTCGTTTTCACTAATGGACCACGTGACTAATCCCGTTATGTGTCCCCAGGTCAGATACTTACTGTGATGTACTAAAAACATCGAGATCTAATGACACAGTGGGATAGACAATTCATGAAAAACTATGAGATGGATAGTGTTGATTAGTATTCCTAAAAAATCAAATATAAACTGAAATGCATGAAAATATATTTGGATGATTAACATGTTGCCGGTAAATTTCTTTGTATTTCGTAATTCGAACTGCTGATATGTCTACTTAGTGTAAGCAGACAACATGTTAGATCGTTTCCACCTTACCACTTTCTTTTCATTTGCTCAGACATCCATATTCGTTATGATGACATTCCTAGTACTTTAAATAAAAAATTAGTAACAAACTATTTCATGTATTTTATGGTGTATTTCTTGTTCAGAAACAATAACAATAATAAAAAGACTGGAATTTTCGTTCTTCAGTTCAACAGTTTACATAATTTACGGAAGTATTTATCAGAGTTGCTATATGTAGTCTTTAAAAAAGCTTTTGTTTAACGTAGATCCTCGTCACATCTTTCACAATCAAGAAATAACATTCAAATAATTATAAATATATATATATATATTACTCATTGTCAGTGGTCAGGTGATGCTGATTGAATACTTTTCCAAATGTGACAGTCAGTTTAATTTATGACTTTGTCTTAGATTTCACTCGTTTACTTGCATAAATTACAATGAGATTTCATAAAATGAATTCTGAATACTTATACTATTAATTCTTGATCGATGATAGGTAGAGGAGGATATGATTCAATCTAGTATAAAAGCTGTAGAGGATATCATGATATATATAATAAAACATTTTACTTATTCCATCCTATCCAACTCTGTCAACTGTATTATTTAATAGTGAACTCTGTAAATGCAAGCAAACCATTATACACATGGTTCTACATTATTCACTACGAACTCATATACACAACCTATCCATTTGTTTTTTTTAACAGTTTAATTTGACTGGACTATATTCAAATTTAAAGAATGGTTTTGTTAAAAATAATTTCTCAAATAACATTAGTGTATAACTGATTTATGTTTTTATTGAAATGATCATTTATTAGAAAGTATAAATTAATAATTAGTTCAGAGGATTATTTTTTTTCATATAAATTACACCGCGAAAAAAATGTCGAAACGTTATTCACCAGTGATGTAAATGCAAATGACATCAGTTGTCCTCTTTTATACGACAGCTTGTCCATTAGAAATTCGATCTGATGTATGTACGCCAATGTTTACAGAGTCTAAGTAATCTATAACATTTTATTAAAGACATGTTCTTTATAGTTGTAATCATTGTCTAACTAAAGTCAATCAGTGATTTGAATTGTTTTAAAAATAAATAATCTCGGAAAACCTCTCGTTCTTGTTTAATTTTTCATTAGAATTTGGAAAATAAAATAACACTCGTATGATTTTGAGATGGTGGAGAAAACTTGTAGCTCAGGTGGATGATGCAGAACAAGCTACAGGTTAAACGTGGAGAAAGTCGAATACTTCACTTCTTCTATTCGAAGTTTGTGCTGATGATGTTGTTCAGAAGAACAATGAAAGCTCCACAACCAAAACAACCAGCTCAGAGAACGAAACACCACCACAATAAAATAACAGCTTACAATGAATTTATTTAATTATTCAAAGCTTATTGTTTTAGCTCAACATATTAATCTTGAACAGTTTAACATAACGAATACATTCATTGTTGTTGTCTGTAGTAATGTAGTTTCTGATGTGAATACATTTCTAGTATTCAAAAATAAAAAGCCTAACCTATCAAATTCATCAAATAAGCAAAACCCAAATGACCCTAAGAAAAATTTCTCATCTGTAATCAATTATTTATTTGACATATTGAATGCAATCAAAAACATTGTAAAGCTGTATTCATCATCTTCATAGAATGTAAGTTCAAAAATAAATGACACAATTAAATAAGTGTTTGAAATGTAATGTTTAGAAAAATCTGTAAATCAACTGTACTAATGATAGATGTTGATTAATTATTAAAGAATAATAACCAATAATACTGATAATTGAGTTATATTATCATAAATATTAGAAAGTAACTAGTAGCTATTGAAAATAATTGTTTTTTAAAAAAATGTAAACAATCATAGATTTTTCGGTCGATGTTCAACATGATTCATAACACTTTGATCATTGAAAGTGCGAACTTTGAATGGTAAATGTCCTGAACGACAATGGCCTAAACATGCTCTTAAAATATGAACAGCAGATAATTGAGTTTTTGAAACATCTTCTTTCGATCCTAATAGAGGATTTAATTCAGCCAATTCAACTAATGAAAGTTTGCCTGTAGAAAGTGAAATAAAAATGCAATAATTACTCACGATATATAAATATTTATAATTGCATATAGAAATCATCCATCGGTAAAATTACAAGTATTCCCAACCACAATTCAAACAGTCCTAAACTCATATTTTAGTCACAGATCGACAAAGAATTATGTCCACTATGAACGAAAACTTCAGAGGGTCCCAGGAACCATGTTTTTCAACTGTATTAGATTATTTTCAGGCAGAGCTCTGCAGGTTTGTGTTTTTACACATATGAAATCATCAATCAATCATTGTTAGACCACCATTAGAAACCTGGAAGCACTGGACGGCCGTTTCGTCCTTGTATGGGACTCATCAGCAGTGCACATTCACGACTCCTGCACCTGGCAGGATTCGAACGCGGGACCTTCGGTATTGTGAGCGAATGCCTATAAATTACTGTGCCATGTAAAACCATTAAGATAAGTGTTCACTATGAAGTTCAAGTACATTTTTTTTGGTATTTCAGTTGCTTGGTAGCATTCCAAATCACTCAAATCTATGATATTAAGATATCTAAAATAACAGAAATCTTATTTCAGACAAAAAAATAACTGCTTTATTCACTTAACAGCATGACTGATATATGTAATGATAGTGGTAGTAGTGAGATGAACAGAATTATTTAATACAGTCCCAAAATTGAATGCATCTGACCAAGTGATGAAAAATATGAAATGATACCAATCTTATTGTGCTGAGAAAGGTAGACTGTGAATAGAACTTTACTAGCAGTAGTGAATTTATATCGTGTCATTTAAAACGATTAGCCATCATGATTATCGACTTAGGTCGAACTACAAGAGTGATATCTCTGTACGTGGTACAAACAGCCAGCAGTAACTTCCTGACTTATGTCTTCATTGAATCAACTAATGCTTTCTTCTGAATTACGCGCTATTTCATCCCACCAAGACAGGCAGTAACTATTCCTCCATAACATTTATGACAATAATCAAAGCCGACCCAAATTTACAGACTATTAAGAAATTTGCATTTAATCATAGCATTATCGACCTCATTATGTGAGCATTGTACTTCCCAAATATCTATGACTAAATACTTGTTCCCTTTACCAACTAGATAGTTGCGTAACGCAGCTTCATCAGTAAATATCACCTGAAACGATCGACAGAAGTGAAATCAAGTGCACGAACCAACAAAGAGGTCATCCTACCCTATATAAAATACGTATCAGAAATAACAGAGCAAGTACTGAAATCATTGGGAATAGGTGTAGCACACACTTCTGTCAGTCATATGTAATCCGAAGGACAAACTGACAAAAAAAGAAAAACCAAATATCATCTACAAACTAAACTGCTCAGACTATGGAAAACACTACATAAGACAGAGTGGACGTCCTCTTCAGCCTCATCTGTGTGAACATCAATTAACAGTCAAACGTCATGACATTTCTTCCCTTACATCAATACATATGGACATACGTTCGATTGGAATAATGTTGAAATACTGGATAAAGAGAGCACTACGAACACTGGAGAATTTTTAGAAACTTGGCACTCAAGTCAATCAGCAATCAACAAACACATTGACATTGATCTAATTTGTCAACCAATTGGAAAAGTCATAGAAGATAGGATCAAGAAACAGATCAAAGGGGTATTCAGTCAAAACAAAGTTGTAGACAACGACACGTTTAAGGGCAATAACAACCAATCAAGACCGAGTTCAAAAGATTAAGTTGCAAGCCATAGAGAAATTCGCATACATCACTTCACAGTTTGTTCTGATGATGTTCAGAAGAACGATGGAAGTTCCACAACCAAAACATCCAGCTCAGAGAACAAAGCTTCATCAAAATCATCCACTTGAACTACAAATTTTCTCCACCATCTCACAGTTAATAGTTTATCGGAAATCGGGTGTGCTCTTTAATCACAGTTCAAATGTTCTATGTAGATGGATATTTAAAACTCTAATGAAATGTTAACGAACATACTTTGGTAACCAGCTGCCGGTTAATGTCCATGACTTTAAAGTGCACCGATTTTATGATGGTGATAGATTGATCAAGATTATACATTAACACTGTCGGATACTGGCTTACAAGTCTAGAGGTTAGGCATTTGCGCGAGAGACAGTAGATCCTGGATTAGATTCTCGCGAGTGGAGTCGTGGATGCGCGTTGCCGAAAAGCCCCATTCTAGGATGAAACGGCCGTCTACTGCTTTCGGAGTCCTGTTGGTGGACTAACAATGATTGATTTACTATTTCGCCCCAAGTCATAGTGTCTTATTGTGGTGGAATTTGATTCTCTGATCTGGATGTTTTGGTTGTGGAGGTCAACAGAAAAAGCTACGAATCAAACGTGGAGAAATTCAACTACTCCACTTCTACCTACAGTTTTTACTGATGATGTTGTTCAGAAAAACAATGAAGCTCCACAACCAAAACATCCAGCTCAGAGAACGAGACTTCCCGATAATCATTCACCTGAGCTACAGATTTTCTCCACCATCTCAAATAGTGTCTTATACTTAGAAGGTGGGATAACGTCAAACCTCTGACAAGCTGGGTTCTTTAACTTCCAGGCCAGTTTTCTTTCGACTGATTAGATAATTTTCTAAAATAAAACTAAGCAAAACTACTGATGATTCAATAAAGTAGTAATTACTTAAAATGCAGTTAAACCATATTTTGGCTTGCTCCAATTAACCTATTTTCAAACGTACTACTGATATGTACAGCAAACAATATAATTCACAACAATCAGTAAATAATATTTAAAAGTAGATAACTACCTGTTGCTGAAACTTCTTCACATATTCTTAAACCTTCACGTAATGTCAAACCACCAGGAACAGCAGTGCCAGTACTCGGAGCTATGGAAGGGTCCAATGCATCAATGTCAAAACTTAAGTGGATAGCTTTTTCTAATCTGAAAAAAAAAATAAATTACTCGTACTTTCAGATTAATGAAGACATTCATGAAATTCAAATAATAGTGATACTTAAGATGGACATAATTTCCGTAAACCACTAGTACTGGCATGGGGACAGACACTGACGAGCAATAAGTACAAAACAATCGTTGATGAAAAGTGTATTGTTGATTAACTTTGGTAATCATCACTTCTTATATACCACTATTTATCAAAAAGTAAATTATTCTGTTTTCATTGAGATCTGTTATCCACATTTCTATCCGAGTCGTTTGTGAAAGTCTTTTCTCTTTAGCTGGCAATATGTATTGAAAATAAGTCTTGTTGAAATATTCTGTGCTGAAAATTCTATATTTTACTAAAAATTTAATGTTGAGTGAAGCTATTGTTGCCGTTAGTATTATCTAACGAAAACCAATTTCCGTATTATTCAATAAAAAGTCTTTAATATGACTTTGATAATCACAGCTTTATCATTAAGATTTTATACGTTAATAGCATCTCTGAAGTGCATTTTTATGTTCGTAAAAGCGTTTAAACGATTGTATGTGATCATTGACAGCACAGTTTTAAAAAAATTCGTGTACTTGAAACAATTATGACATGAACACCTATAAGCTGAATTAAAACACATATAACTTGTAAGAGTTGACAGGATATGTCGGTCAAGAAGATGCTATATTGTTCATTGTGGAGAATGAGATTTAGGTGTGGTGACTGATCAAATACAAATCAACATTAGTGTACTTTAAATGAAATAAATCTATCAAATTAGATATAATAAACTTCATTAGAGTAATCATAGTTCAAAAGTATTAAAAAGGGATCAATAATTATCTTAACATTGATTATTATTTTATTTGTTGAAACTGCGTTATCAAGTACATTTTTGACTTTGAGTTATATCTATTTTGTGAGGATTAAATGTACTGTCTGGCTACTCAGTAATTGACAGTCAAACTTTTTAAACAACCAGATATCGAGATGAAATAATAATATAAAATAACCCCAGAGAGAAAATCGTATTCAAACAGGTTTAAAGACCTTTACGGAACATACACTGAAATAAATCATTTTAGACTAAACTATTTTCAACACTGATTTATACCTTGAACTGGGAAATGTAACTCTAAAGACAAATCTTTAACTGCGTGTCAAGTAATTGATTAAATTTTCTTTATTATTAATGAATAAATACGTGATAAAAACAATGTCTACATATTTTGCTATTTAATACAGTTGAATCAATAACCTTGGATTGATTGCTCGTAATGCTTCTTTAATGACTGCTTCTATTCCCATTCTATCAACGTCTAGCATTGTAAAATAAGCTATACCAAGTTTTCTAATATCATATCTATAAGAATAAGAACAATAATATCAATTCTTTGGTAAATTATAGCAAATACTTTATAAAACAATTCATATTACATAATGATATCAGTTATAAATGAACATGTGCTGAATGACTATTACGTCTCTGATTTGGAACGATTTATCAAAACATAGATATCTTACTGAAAAAATAAAACAGTTTAGTTAGTAAGTTCAAATTCAAGGTTCAATTTTTGTATCTTACTACATTTCTCGATATAACGTCTATATATCATAATGTGTTCATGATAAGTAAATGCTATATTTCTAATTTTTCAAATGCAGATATCATTATTTTCTAAAGAACAAAATTATTATTCAGCAACGTCCATTAGTTCATCTATGTAGCTAAGGAACAAATATTGTGTACAAATATTCTGACATTTTAAAAGACAAAGAATTGAAGTTCCAAACACCACCACCACCACAATCATCCACCTGAGCTACAAATCTTCTCCACCAGTCTCAAACTCTTTTTATTGACCAACTATTTAGAAGATTTGCTTTACCTAGATATTAACTATTATAAAGATAAAATTATCTTTTAAACTTGTGTTATTTGTAACACTATATGTATATATATATATATATATATATATATATATATATATATATATATATATGAATTTCACAAAATTTATTTGAAAACATTTCACCAGTATATCCCACATAAGCAATGTCATTTTTCAGAATAGATTTACACTAATCATTAATCCACTTCAGAAATATTTTCCATAAGTCTTTTCAATATATAATTCATATTATTATCTCTAAATATCATAAAGTGATATTTGAATCTGTGACAAGTATTTATTGGTTACTAGTTTAAGAATTCGTAAAAGGATGCTAGAAATATAAACAGATCAAAAATAAATGCTTATCAGGTGTTACGCATGCATGTGAACATGTCAAATTGGTATGCTTGAACTATTACAAGTTTACGTTAGTCGGAAAACGAGAGCGAAGATCGAGGATCCGGCAACACGACATACTACTCTAATCCAATTGTCCCAATCCCCATTGAGTGAAAGAAGAAGACTTTATTTGAAGTAGAACCTGTATTCTACAAGCATCCAGAAAGTACGAGGTCCCAGTTCAGAAGAGAATCAGGATCCCGGACTAAGGATCCGGGTCATGAAACGTTACAGATAATGCGTATTTATACATTTAGGTCGAATAGGAAACAGCACCGAAGTCTGTAACATTGACAGTTAAGACGACCAATAGGAAACAACATTTGAAGTGACATTAACAGTCATGAGGACCAGTAAGAAACTTCATTTGAGTACGTGACACTGATATATAGGACGATCATAAAATTGACCAGTAGAAATTAACCAATAGGAATTGACCGACAATTTTCTTAGGATGTTGGATGAATATCCCAACATAAGGTATGGTACTTATTAAATAAACTGAAGGGAAATTATTAACTTAGTTCTAATATTTTGATTTGCTCAAATGGTAAATATTTATTTATATATATGTCAATCGATAGCAGTGATTTAAATAAATGTTTCATTTAGTGTATTGTCAATAGACAACTTATTTCAAAAAAAGTACTCTACTATATTAAACAGGTTGCTTACGTTTCGTGAACATCTAAATCTCGCAGACCAATATAGGCAATATTACTGGCATTCAAACTGTAAAATAAATTTTTTTTAAAAATGCGGAAAATTCAATTTTAAATATATATATATATATATCAATTTAAGGAAAAGAAGACAAAAACAATAGTTTATTTATCACATCATTATCACAGATTGATTAAAGTTGAACATATTAACCAACGATTTTAAACTTGGCAAAATAAAATTATTTAAGACACTACAAGATCTAAAGGTTATATAGGAATCACTATTTGTTTTACGCTACAATATCCTTAGCATAAAACATTTCTAAATATATTTTTTACACTGATTTCAATTTATAATATTTAGCATAGGTTTCTAAATTTTTTTTTTTTATAATTTCAAAACTAATGAGAGTAGTGTTTTTGTTTATTTAACTGAATGAAAAGTTTTCGCAACTATTGAAAAGAACACTACTAACTTTTTCTTGCATAAATCATTGTTTTATAGAATTAGCTTGTTATAGTTGAAATAAAAAGCCTCTTAATCAAATTTTTTACATAGATACATATATAACCCGAGTTATTTCACAACTATTTTGTTCAGAATGAGGTGATGTTTTATAAGTGACGTCAGTAACCACTGTTTATTATCATGGACATTATCATCAAATATACAAAAACACCAGGATTATCAATGCATTCTATCTACACTTATATTTTTCGTACAAGATAAAAAACGTCCGTTAAACCTGTATATTACTATTAAAATTAATATCACTAAATTAACGAATTTACACGTTTATTTAATTAATTTAATTTATATCATAAAATATACACAACCACCTTTATATATATATATTGATGTCGAATTACTGACGAAACAGTTATTGAATATTTAATCAAATCAGTGTAATTAAAAAAAAATCAAATAACATTATTTAAAATCAGGAGACGATTATAAATAAAATTTATTTGAAAATGGAGCCTTATTTAAACGGTGAATTTTTTTCCAATTTCATGCGGATTATCATTTTACTAAAAATGGAATATTACACATTAGAAATTTGACATTTTCATGAAACATAAATTATTCTCAAATTATTTCACAGCTGTTACACTCATCACTAGGTATGCTTGAAACTATTACGGGTTCACCTTAGTCGAATAACGAGAACGAGACAATGAACCAGCGTCCAGGTAGGCTACTCTGATCCGTTGACCCAAAGGTACTAACGAGAAGTCTTGATATAGCGTAGAAAGTGTATTCTATAAACACCCAGCCAGCTCACAATGAATCCGAGCACACAAATCGCGTTTATTCATACACCATAGAGACTTCCTTGGGAGAGTCACAAAATAGCACACTAAAATAACAAAGTAACCAATCACAGCCAAGGCTTTTCCTGGTGGGAACTGTGATCTCAAGGTCAACTGATCAGCCCATGAATAAAATCCAAAATAAAGACATTTATCAAGCGAGTTCTGTGGATCTAATATCCCCAACAACAGTTGATCTTTTACACCTAGTTCAAAAACAATTAAATACCAAAATTTTTGTTGAGCATGTACTAACACTGATCGAACACCACTATCTGCATACCTTTCAAGTGACTGGTAACAGGTTGTATATAACGATGAATATTTTTAGAGAATTTTTCATCATTCAAATCTGTAGAATATTATCTGGATTTTTACTAGCATATGCTACAGAAACAAACAACTATATGGGTAGTTTTCCGGTTAAATTCAACAAATTCACTTTCAATAATAATTGTTCACATAGTAACCTTGTAGGCGTAATCATAATCTCATGAAGTTTTAAATTTAATTGTTGTTGAAATATACTTTTCAAGTTAAATTTCAATTCCATTTAAAATGTACACGAATAATGGATAAATTATTAGTGTAACGCATATCGATAGTTCATTTCATTGAAATTTGATTGTATCAAGTCAGTTATATAATGCATAATACCTAAAGATTTCTAATTTCTGATTGAAATAATCGAGACAAGAATACAGATGACAGATTAGGCTTTTAGGTGAAAGTTTATTTTTTTCAAGATAACAAAACATGCAATAGTTACAAATTTTTTCGCAAATATTATATCAGAATAAAATAAAATTAGCTTAAGAACTTGTTAGATTGTGAACAAAGCTTAGAAACTATATTCATTTGTAACGTGTAACATGTTACAAGTAGTAGACTTAAAGCCATAGATTTCTCTTTGCAAATTTTATACAAAATCTAGTCAAACATTTTCAAACATGTAAACTTAAACAAACTTTGAATATATATATATATATATATATATATATATATATATATATATATATATATATATATATATATATATAGGTATTAGTCTCTTTACCGATTTGTTATTAGAAAAATCATAATCAATAATTCATAACAAATTTAATCAATCTAATAAATTATTTAATGTACACATCGTCAAATCATGAAGTAATGAATAGTTCCCTATAGAAACATTTCACCATGTCGATGTGATTATCATGCTGATAATTGTTATTCAATATTAAATTGTAAACAATAAATAAAATAAAATAGTCAGTCTATAATTGACTTGATCACATTGAACACATGAATAACTAGTTCCTAAATATTAAATTATTAATTAAAGGGAAGTAACAGAACAATTTTCATGATTATTATTGCTATACTAGTTTTTTTTTCAGGTGTAAAGATTTATTATATCAGAAATAATTCAAATTAAGATAGGTTTTCTTGGACAATATAATAATTATCAGCTGATAAGTAATCATAAGATAATAAACGCATTGATTTAAGTTTTAACGTTACGACGAATTGTGAAATTTTGAATAAGATAACTGAATTTAAATTTTGTTGATTCATGTGACTAATTTTTGATGGGTGAAAATGAGATATTGCACAAAAAGTCACGTTGAGTTCGTTTCAGATCTAACATGTATGTGCAACTCGACATTTTTAAAATAATTATTAATAATTTAAGTTGTTTATGGTGAGAAGTTAGCAGACAGCAGAATCATAATACACTGATTTCAATGTAAATTAAATGTACAGTAAGAAAATAATTTTTAGACTCTATTATTTCAAGTTTTGTTGGAGAGTTACACATAGAGACTGACTTTGCAGGTTTGAAAATATGTTGAAAAAAAAATCGGATTAAATAATATGTTTAAGTGAGATGCCAATGCCAACAGTGTGTTTGAATGATGGTTGTTAACTAATATTAATAAATGATTGCCACTAGAAATGTAAACCAATAAATCTCTGTGAGGATTAAAAGTTATTGACTCAATCCAGATTAGGTTCGAGGATCCCTATTACTAATTTATATCATACTATGATAAGAGGGCTTTTTAGTGATATCTGAAATTTCGTCTATTGGATAGGATAATGATTTGAAGCCCTGATAGATTTTATTTGGTGTTAGTTGGTTAGAGAAACTTCGTATTCTGGTTTTTTCTAACAATCTAGACTTATTTTATATTTAGATATTTTCATAAAATAAAAAAAATCAAATTACAAATTTTACAAGTGAATCACAATTAAAACGGTTACACAATCATATTTATATACAAAAAAATCTACCAAGGTTTTATGTCTTTGAAATCGTCCATCCGCGGTATTTGATCTTGTAACTCTTTTACTAAAAAGCTCAAAGGCATTCCATGTATATTTCCAGAAGATGAATTCATTGGAGTATTTATGTCACCATGAGCATCGATCCATAACACGCATAGATCTGGTTTAACTTTGGCATGTCCAAGAATCGTTCCAGTCGCCATACTATGATCACCTCCAACAATGACTAATGGATTTGATTCTAATTCATTTGATTCAGTAAGTTTATTGGAAGCTTTCACTAATTCCGACACACGGTCAGCTATTTTTAAAGTAGTTAATGCAAAACTCCGTGACCATTTCATTCCAAAACGTTGTGGATCCTCTGATTCAGTCAATTCAATCGGTATGACATCGCCACAGTCAATTAATTGTATTCCTAAAGTTTAATTTTTGAAAACAAAATGAAGTTTACTGTAAATTTCATTTCATTTGAAACAACACTATCATCAATGTGTTACTTTACGACATAGCATAATACGTGATATGCAACAAATACACACTGTCTGCTACAGTGCCTAGATTGAACAAATCAATAAAATTATTTTGTAATCAACTCAACATGACTATACTAGTTAGTTACAAAATGTTTTGTATTATTCATGATAATGTCAAGCGCTGAATACAATTCATTAATAATGATAATAATATTATTCATTGGATTTTTTTTTTACTTTTTCTCATTTCTTTACTATGACTGACAATTTATGTAATAATCATGGCATAAGTTATGTATGTATCCTTGATTGTTAATAAATGGAGAAAGCCCTTTTCACTACTTCGACAACGACCACACTACCTTGGTACTAGTATGATAACTAAGATAAACATTTTGAAAGTGTATCACTTATAATGACTGCTAAAAGAAAGAAAATAAAAACAGCTTGGCTAAATGTACAGTCCATATGACACAATAAGTAATTTTGTAAATTTAGAGATAAAGTGTTTTCACTATTCAACCATTCTTACCATAGCCATTAACTATGATTTCGTCACGTCATATGTTTAATTATAGAAAAGTTTAAAACACTTTATTCCTTACACAACCATTCATCTCATTGTAGGCGTATGCATACCTAGCCATTTTTTTTTTGACCTTCTAAAGAATAGAACTAAAATGATATCTGTTAACACCTAACTGACTTAGGTAATGGTTATGATACTAGCTTGAAACTATAACTTTTACTCTGTTTAATTTACTTTATAACAAACATTTGATTAGTGTTATTCACAGAATAATAGTAATTTAAAAAACATATTAGATGGAGAAATAGGCAATTTTCCACGAACTCATATTTTTGTATCATCTTACCGTCTTCAGATACAAGTTGAAAAAAGTTAGATTTTCGAATCAATTCCGGTCCTTGATTAGTACCAACTTTCGGTTGTCCTCTGTTAGTTGGAATACCCAAGAAATTAGCAGATGTATATAATAGCTTTGGTGTTTCACCACTCTGAATGGGATAATAGGGAGCTACAAACAATTTAATGAAAGGACACCAAATAGTTGTGAAATAAAATAAATTTAAAAAATTGATAATTTATTACACAGTTGATAAAATACAAAGTTCTCATTCATTTTTCAATCATTATGAAGCGTATTAAGTTTCACATAAACACAAAGTACTTTTAAAAAAAAAATATTTCCATCATTTTTAAACTCTATTTTTTAACAAATTTGAACAGAGATATGAGAAGACTGTTTTAAATTTCTATTTTTAACAGTTAACTTTTTAAAGTAACTAAGCCTGTGTTTCAGTGGTCTTAAAGAACCGATATTTAAAAACTTTGTTTTGTTTATTAAATAAAAAGCCGGTATGCACCTCTTGAGTTGTTTTCAACCTTGTCATCAGACAGTTTTGATGCTGGAATTTAACTCTTCATAATTTAAAATTCATACTTAGTAACCGTTTAGGTTAAGCTACTAAAATTATAAATTTTAACTAGATTTACTCAGAGAGTTTTAATAAAATAAATTATTTTTATAAACATTTCTATTTGTAGTGTTACAGATGTTGCTGCTTTAAAACCAACAATTTAAAAAACAAATTATTAACTTTTATCTTTTCATCAATATACATATATATACCTCCATTTACCCTCACCTAGTACTATCGCCATAACTTCTCACTGAACAATGTATACCATGAAAGAGAGCATACATTCTCAATGTAATATGTAGTTTGAGAAACAATCCGAAACATTCAATCAAAATCATTAAAATTTTAATAGCAGAAAAAAAAACTATTTAGATTATTTTAGTTCAAAATACAAGATCTACTTGACTCTACTTTATTATTGAAGAATAAAATTCTATAACTCTCATGTACAAAAAAAAAAACTAAACTTCTCGAAAATGTGATCAATCCAGTCTTCACATTGATATATTTAATCACTAGTATCTGATATATACAGGAAAAAATAAAACTACAAGTTACTGACTTACTTGCAACCGGCTTCAACATTTTTTGATTGTGTAATTATTCAATGTCCGTGCTTGTCAATTTAAATAAATAAAATGCACTGTAACTAAATCTACAGCTTACAAATGATTGGCTGATTTGTCAAGGTCCTATCGAACGTCATCTGACAGTTAACATGGAAGTTCATAATACGTATGTAAGTAAATAAATATACTACATACTGAAGTAATTAAAAACTTAAAAAAGACAATGAATTACAGTTCAGCAAAAAGTGTTTCTCTTACTTAGCTGAATTCAGTAGAATTCAAACATCAAAACAATCATTCATGCAATGAATGATTATGTTTGTTGAAAAAAATAAAACCAAACTTCTATGATAGACACTTTGTTTCAATTGTTATTGAATTGCAAAGAATAATGCCTAATTATCATTCGTAAATTTTTGCAATCATCCGAGCAACTAATAAACATTACTGCATACAATACACGGTTTATAATTTCCATTTTTTTTGTGTTATATTGGAGATCAGATCAAATGAGAAAGTATTTTCATGATAACTTTGATTAAATTACTATAAGTACATTAAAACTATGAATTCTGCTGGTCTAATGAAGGAATACACTCTTTATTTAAAAACGTATATGGGTTTTGGTTGATAAGTTGTCACAGTTTTAGTAGCATATATTTCATTTAAATACCAAAACATTCTTTTTTTTGTTATATTTATTTTCAAGGAAATTTGTTTCTGTTATGCTTAATCCGGTATTGTCGAAAAAGAATCTTTAGTTTTGTATCTGTTTTATTCTGAGTCATAAGTTTTAATGAAATGTATAGATTCTGTTCCAAAATCACTGTTATTTAAACATCACCCTATTGTCTTAGTTGGGATATGCATGCATTTCGGTTTTACTGGTTAGATATTTAGTCATGTACCTATGTTGAATTAGTTGTACCAGGAATAAACCAGATATATGATGCCAAATATCAACTTCTCTCTCTCTCTCTATGCTTGTTAAGCAATCAGTTCAAACATCAGTTGTTGTATAGTTTTCGTCATTCTTCGCTCAGCTTCGTTCAATCATAAATCGAGCTCACACGTTACGTGTCAAAGCTGCATCGAATAAACATCATATCAAAGCCTGAAACTAGATCGAAACAACTTTTTCCTTGCTAATAAAGTACAGACTAAGGGATGGGATCACTCAGTATCGCAGAATGAAATGAAAATTCTCTTAAACACAAAATTCCTTAAGTTGCGGTACTATAAATGCGTACTGCCTAGCAAAATCAAAACATGCTCTATGCTGTCCAAAGTTTTCTTACTTAATGTCGGTTCATGACAAAAGTTACTTTCAAATATAATTTATTATTGTTTAATGCTATTTATTATATAACATCGAGTAATGGAAATAAAAAAAAGAAACACAATTTAAAAACACGCTAAACGTAAGTTCAGAGTAAGTCTTCAAAAAATTTGTGAAATTATAGCATGTTTAACTAAATTCACCCATATATTAACTAATAAAATTATATCGCAGATGTTGAACAAAATTCTCATTAATTATTCTGCAAAGAATTCTGCAGTATTTAGTCGAGTAAAAACACTATATGAAGGTTTGCTAGGTCTCATTGCTGTTTCTCAGTTTCTCCCATATTAACAAAAACTGTAAGAAAGAACAAGTAGTTAAACCACCGGTACAGTAGTCAAAATAGTTTTCATAGTCCTGATATAAAAATGAATCCCTCATATACATCAACCGTATCTAAAAATTGTTACATAATGCTTAACTCTTCGATATTCAAGTAATTAGTGTAGACACTATTTGAACGACGAGTTTCAAAGAATGCTATTCATATTCTTTCTAAGTCTGTGAAAGTATAATACTCTGGGTTAAACAGATAAAAGTGCAGATTATAGTAGTCCATTTGATTATACGGTCACTTATGGAAGCTTTAAATTCCAATTGGATAGATTCTGTGAAGAAAAAGCAAACTACTCACTTAAGATAGTGTGATTAAGTTATGCACTGGACAGCAAATGATTAACTAGGAATAGAAATGAAAAACACAAAATCGCTAATGACTGTTATGAACCATTTACTGTTATTGTTTAATTTTTTTTTAATCCGTACATTAAAACACGCAAACTCTACAGTTTATTTATGATCAAAATTCAATTCATTGACTTTTTCTTGCTTCTAATTAATTAATTTTATTTTCTAGATCATGTAATCAGATATCAAATATAAATAATAGATTAGTTAACTAAAGTTTTAAGTTTTAATTTTCACGACGATAAGTACATGTACATCATATTTTGTCTATTGAATTGATGTTTTTCATCTTTGGTTCAAAGTTTTTTTATTTCTGTTTTTAGTTATTATCATATTTTGATTTGCAAATCCAAATACTTGTAAAAAAAAGTATCTATTTATTTTGTCAACTGATAAAACTTGATATTTTGTACTGTATTGTATTCATGTTGGAAAAAGGAAAAATATATATTTGTTCAACGACAAGTACATGAAAATGTATTCAATTGTTTAAAACCTATTCTTCGTTTAAAGCAACTTCAATTATAAGATTATTTCAAGGTTATTTGTTTATATTTTCTTAGCACTAAAGTTTGACAACTTATATATTACTGAGGTAGCAGCATGAATACGCTTATTATAAAAATTAATCTTTTAAATGTACCATTAACTCATAAAAAAGACTATGTTTTGATCGTTTATTTACTATGTACATGTTTTGAACTTGATGTTGAGTCATGTCTTTAGTTTGACGTCTAGAGATAGTGAAAAACTGAAGCAGAACTAAATGGACTAGAATTCAACCGTATATGTCATTGATCTATAATTGAACGCATTAACTAAGATGCTATCACTTTATTTAATAACCACAAGAACGAGAACGATTTTGCTGTTTTAAATTAATCAATGGTGTCATATTTTACATTGAAATCGTGAATCGATGATTGTTAGACTACCATCAAAAACATGAAAGCACTGGACGGCCGTTTCCTCCTTGAACGGGACGTCAGCAGTGCATTTTCACGAACCCCATGAGAGGTGATCAAACCCAGGACCCTTAGTCTTGCGTGCGAACGCTTAACCTCTAGACTAAACTACCGCGATCCAACTCTGATAGTATTTGTCAGTATTCGTTAGAATGTTTAGTTGAATATTAGGGTATATTTAGTGTCACTGTCCAGATAATTATTTAGTCTAGTTTGAACTTTATAACTAGATGCATACCTTAATTTGCAGAATGTTCATCCCTTATAATTTTGCAGAGTGAAGATCATAATTCAAGTTTCTTCTTCTACGTTTACAAGGTTATACTTATGTTTACCATCTAAGGCTACTCCAAACAGTCTTATTACGATAATAATAATAATAATAATAATAATAATAATAATAATAATAATAATAAATTCCGTCCTTCAATAACATTAGAAAATTGTTCGGGAAGTAAACCATACAAATACTTAAATATTACATATATGCCTTTTGACTGTTTTAAGAAAGTACTTAATTATATTGCGTAAAACTCTTACACTCCATTTAATGCATACCCACTTGGATATTTTCACAATAAAAATGTAGTTTTTATATAGTTCTGAACAATATGCACATATTTTGTTCAACTCATACTACTCGCTGAAATTCACTGACCAGGTCTACATCGAATCTAATCTTCAATGATTTGTGGCAATTAAACTGATCACCGTGTAAAAATGACTAGATATCAAAGGTTTACACAGAATAATTGATTTATAAAAATAAAAGATATGAGGAAAAATAAGTTTTGATAGTAGAAAGCGCGATTCTAAATAGACTTGTCTATCATCACGCAGAATCTAAAAAGATAACCTTCTAGATGAATGAATTTTAGTTTGGATTATCAAATGAAAGATTAATGGCGTAGAACCCACCTACCATCACATACAAAGCTTTAAATGGACTAAACAGAAAGACTCTAAATTTACTGTAGATACATGCTAAATAAAATTCATTGCAATATTTGATTACTGGATACGTGTAGTGATAATAAAAAGTAAATACTGTATAATTCTATCAAATGTTAGTCAGTCAATCAGTTACAACATAAAACTTCGTACGTACGTACATTAGTACAAGTTGCCTTACAATACCAGCATGAAGACGTAAATTGTCAATTCAAATAACATAGTCGTATAGAAAGCAGAAGTATTAGCAGTTATGAAAGAGATTAGGGTCCAAAGATGTAATTCAAGAAGTGATGAATGATCCAGAGGATTAGAATTTGAGAGAAGCCAAAGAACGGATGCAACTGTGCCCTTACAAAAGAGCTTTAGCTATGTAGTTCAAGGTCACTAGCCATCGGTTAACAGCGTCTGGCGGACCCCGACATGGTAGTCTACACCTACCAACATGACTCAATCCACTTGTCAGTGACTTCGTATATTTGTGCCATACCATGGTATAAACAGCTGCGACTAGAGAACCTACGAGGCATGAGAAGACATGAACAAAAAGTGGAAAGAACTGGAAAAGGAAGCCCAGGACAGAGTTGGTTGGAAAACACTGGCCAGCGACCTATGGTCCGTTGGGGGTAACAGGCGCAAGTAATTAAGTAAGTACGTAACAGATTCTGTCAATAAGAACAACATTATCTAAATCCGAACTACTAACTCTCTTGTTATAGACACATTGGCTGTCACCTCATTTGAAATGGAATTTATTTTGAAAGCAGTTGAGCACACATAACTTTATTTTTGCTCAGGTCGTTTGAATATGACGGTAATCATGGATGACATAAGACTTTTTACAAATCTAAATCAGTTTAATTTTTTTCATTTTACAAAGCCGGTCGTAGATGTAAAGGGGCTACAGGCGGAATGATTAATAACTTAATCATGACAAATATCTATCGATCCCCTCGAAGCTAAGCATAATATTAAATGAAAGGATCATTAATCAGTTTATCTTTATTCAAAATAAAAGGTTGTTTCCTGTTAATGCACTTTGACTATTGATATTGTTGATATAATTACGACACAACTAATCTAAAATAGTTTCCCAAAGAGATAATGAGTGCATGCACTCTTTATATTATTATCAAACAATTTTAATTTCGAATGTGTATTTCTAAATATCAATATACTGAAAATCTATGGATAACAGTGGGTTTTTTTAACCAATATTGAGTATTGACCAATTCTGGATAATCCTTCTTTGAATATCACTATACATTCTTCACAGTTAGCATTCTATCAACGATTCGGATAAAGTTCTTTTTTTTACTTTTCCGAGGTTCTCTTACACTCTTGTTACACAGAATAACAATTTTTGAATAGTCTAACATGTGAAACAGTTCATTATAACTGATTATGAATTAAATGTTCTTGACAGAATCTATAGTCAGTTGAATTAGAAGTATTCACTTTAGAATTGATTTGTAATGGTTTGAATTATTTGGTTGTCAATATTTTGACTGAATTTTGACCAGTTTTGGTTGGTTCTTGTGTATTTTATGTGGATTGCTTCGATATAGCCATTACGACACAAGTTTATACACAACAGCCGACGAGTCCCGAGTAGGATGAAACGCGTGTCCTCAATGCTACTGCTAGCCACATAACTTTGATTCAGACTTTTTGAATGATAACTAACGGTAGCACCAGAGTGGTCAAATAGATATACCAAGAACTCAGTTTATAATACTCAACTCCTAAACGACAGTTCAGCAATAGATGGTGGGTTCCAATTCGTAAATGTGCTTATCAAACCAACTCCAAACGAATTCACGTGTAGTCTACTTCGATACAGACAAAATAGTGAGTTAGATCTTTCAGGGTCATAAGTTTGCAAGCTTGAAATACTACTAGCTGACTTCATGATCATGCATACATAAAAAATCAACGAGATACTGCTACTTTTTTTTAACCACAACGGAATTTTAAATTACAACTTCATCACTTTGATTCTTAGCACCAAGTGATAATAACATTTTAAATCGACAATTAGTTTATGCCTGTAAATTAAATGTTTCAATGTTATGTTGAATTGAAAATGAAAATTATGAAAATTCATAATTTTCCAGAAATGAGATAAAAATGACTAATCATTTTAAACACTTAATTTATTGTTCGAATTCCCAATACTGTTAATTATTTTCATCACTTATAAACCTATTTAGCCTTGACATTATCACCTAGCCGATTGATTTGGATCATATCATTCATTTTCAACTGTAATCAGCTTTAATGGATATCAAGAGTTCCAATCATTTTACACCTTAATAATCATCATATTCTTTCAATCACATCAATATCTATTAGTAAGATTAGAAGGTCAACGAAGGACATGAGAATGAAGAAAGAAGCTGATACAGCTTCAGGTATTATATTCAATTTAGCTATCAGCAACATGTTTTGAGTCTTACAGGACCTTCTAGAAGAGAAAACCATTACAGGAAACGGATAAGAGGAAAATTAGCTGTAACAGACCAAGAAGTGCTGAGCCGCAAAAAGCATCAGTGTAAAGAACAGATTATTTCAAACAACCTGGGCAAGATTAAAGAGAAAAAAGAAAGCAGGTAGAACACTTTGTAGAGCTCTTCAATAATAGAACATCGCCGAACCTAAAAAACATCGAAACAACTCACAAAAGGCTCCCTATCGACTTTACCTTACCAACATTACAACAAGTCAGCAAGGCCATCAGACAAATGAAGAATGATATAGAAGTAGGACCCAAAAGTATACCAAACGAAGCACAAAGTCACATATTAAAACAACTGCTAATATATTCTGTATTCTCAGAGAAATTTACGGGAAAGAACAAACACTAACAGATTGGAAAGAGGGATAGAGAATAAATGAGATACTATTAAGTGCGGGAACTATAAATACGGTAAACTATTATTAGTAACGGGGAAAATTTTCAACAAAGCACTGATGAACCGAATAAATGATTTAGCAAACGTGCAACTCTGAGATCGACAAGCTGGATATGGTAAGAATAGATCACGCACCGAAATAATCTTCACACTGGATTATCACCGAACAACCACTTGAATAAGACTCATCACTATACATTAAATTCGTTGATTACGAATAAGCAAGTGATGGTGTGGATAGGAATCCTCTTACGCACTACAGAGTATCTGAAAAGATCGTCACCACCATATGGAACTTCTAAGAGAGAGTGAGTGGCGAAGCCGTAGATGGAGGGTAGCTAACAGACTCATTCCTAGTGAAGAGTGCTGTCATATAAGATTGCCCTCCCTCACCTCTTTTCTTTCTTCTGGTTGTTGACCAGAAGCATGAAATAAAGATACTTTCGACAGATTTGGATGACCTGCACCTAGCATATTATTTGCTCCTACGATATAAAACACAGTAACAAATGCAAGCGAAGAGAGTTAGTGTGATAGCAGTGTACGCAAAAATAGACCTCAAAATTTACAAAAGAAAAAAAGAGATCTTGGGGTACAACATAACAATTAATAACCAGATCGCACATGATGGCGAAGATCTGGGAGTCTTCGTGTACGTGGGCAGTATTATAAATAAGCAAGTTAGTCAAGATCAAAGCCGGAATTTTCAGAGTTAAGGTTAAACCAGCCCTACCGTGAAAAGATGAGACTTCGAGAACTGCCGCTATCACCAAAGTATTTATAATCAGCTGTCTACGCAAGACTCTGAAGATCCATTGGCGATAATCTACTCTGGCAGACAACAAACCATCTGCTAGTTGAAGAGGAAAACAGAGGATGTTGAGGGGAAACAGGACACACTTTTCAGAAACCACTGAGCTGCATTACATAGCAACTCCTAATTTAGAATTCTAAAGGGAAAAGGCGATTCAAAAAACAGATGGCAAGAGGGGTTGCATGCCGATTTCAAAACAATGAATAGCGCTTGTAAATAACTGAGAAGCATGGCCCATGATATAGATGCTTGTAGATCCTTTGTTAGTGGCCAGTGCCCAAAAAATGTGTCGTTGGCTTAAATAACGGTAAGCAGCAATCCTAAATACTGATGGTTTGTCGATGCTTTCATCTCTTTGATTGCATGTTAGCAACTCAGACAAATTGTTTACTTGTAACGGTCATCACATATTCTGAGACAGCGTTTTACTTTAAATCGAACTCAAAAGTTCAACCCGGACTGGAACTTTTCTAACATGAAAACCTTACATATTGCAACCCAATATGGTAAAAGTCACTTCCTCTTCGTGTTAATTTGTACAGTAACTTATGACCGGTATTTCCCCTTGTGATACGTATAGGGCAGTTGAATTATTTCCAATCAAATCACTAATTAATATATTATTTATGTAACCATGTTAGTGTTATCAATCGACTGATACAAAAGATAACATAAGTATTAAACTACACGTCAAATCAACTATGCGAAAGAACTCTGATCAAGTAAAGCCGAAACCATATTGAACGTATTAACAATAGACATATTTCTGCGCTTAATAATTAAGTCACATTTATCGCTAAAACCAACAGATGAGATCAAATTATATGAGGTAAATTAGGTATCTAGAAGTATATATCAAGAGGGAATTGGAAAATAATTTTATGACATAACACGCAATATAAAACATTTTTACATTAGAAGACTAATATACAGAGTTTCGAAAAAATGTAATCTACAAAAGCACAAATAATTACATTTGAAAAATTCAAATATTCCTTCCTACATGTTTCAACCAAATCCCAACCAATAGCAATATAAATGATCACAGATGACAGCATGTATTGAGATTGGATTTAGAACTTTTTCAGTGTAACAACTACTAACAACCCCTTATGGATTGAGAAAAATACTGGAATGCATAATACTTGATAAATTATGAATTATCTTCATATACCATCGGCATCATCATCTTCAGTAGTAAACTGATTTGCATTGTCTGAATTAGTGGGAATAGAATTGGCCATACGACCATCTGTATGAGAGCTACGAACCCCATGATCAGATCGATCTGCATGGCTTTGTAAAGTAGAACTAACAGGTAGAGGAGCACCATTTGTATCAGTAGAATAAGTAGGATTCGAAGATGGTATTGAATTGACGTGACCAGTGCTTAGCTCTAAAAGTTGCAACTGCCGCAAATTGCCTGATTCTATCAACCATTGTCGAAATCTGTGATCCACAACAGTGCTAAAACTTTGGCGTTGATCAAGAGTCAACCTTGCATTCTGTGAACGAAAAGATAGAGACTTATAGCTGCTATCAACCACATTATTTGAAAGAATAAATACATGAAACACATTAAAAACGGAGAAAATAATATTATCATTATTTGTAAGAGTAAGCATTTGCTGGTTGCCAATATTTCGGGTAAATGCAAACACTTGCAAATAACAATATCATACCAGTTGAGCAAGTTATTGGGTAACAACACGATTCGGTTACCTAGTAAATACCATATTGCTGTGTGAAACGATAAGTATTCAACTCGGATTCTCTAAGTGAATGACAATTATGTTGTAGATACTAGATTCCATTGACAATCGATTTTCAGCGTATAACAGAAATGAAGTACTTTAACGGACCTGAAACATGTTCAGTAAAAACAAACCTCAACTTAATAGCATATACAAATGTCCGTTGTCAGTGTTAGATAAACTGAGACATGGGATAAACAGGATTCCAAGCGGAATTATTCAGTAGTGGAATGATTATGAATAACTTTTTTCATTCATTTTGGTTAGTAATATATATCAAAGATGTCTACTCACAAAGTCTTTGTTTGGTTACATTGCGGATCACTTTTCGGGGGTAATTTTTTGTACACATATACTGAAATGACTTGAGATCACATTCATTTCTAAAAAAAAATAACAATGTGATTTTTTAGTTGTATTGGTGGTTTGAATTTTCCTGTTGATCTTTAAGACTGAAATAAATCAGTCATTTAGGTATATTGCATCCTTTGTGGATTGTAGGGTCACAAGCATTATAAGCAGAGATGTATGGTAACTAGAAGTGAAATCCACGATGAGTATTTCGTCCCGATCTTTTGTAGTCACAAACATTAAACAACCTATACAAATAAATTACACTTCATCCTATTGCACAAGCTAATGGCTACCTGGACTTAGTAGCCAAGTGGAAAACGCGATAGCGTTTGAAGCGAACCGTACAGCGTCGGTGTCTCGGACTAAATGTCAATTCCCAGATGCCAGGGTATCAAGCTAACGAGTCTTAAATGGGATAAGAGACGTGTCCTAAATCCCACTGCTAAACATAATCCATCTCTGACTATAAAGTGATATATTATTGAGTAAAGTCATAAACTGCAATTTGAAACCATTGTGGATTTGAAAATCAGTAATCAAACAAATCTTCAAAACAAAAGATAAATTCACAAAACAGAAAATTAACTGATACAAAAAAAAAATGCTAAATTGTATAAGTAAAAATGGGTTTTTATGGAACTAACTGTAATATGTTGAGGCCATTTCTGATAAGCTCCAGCCCTTTCATATAAAGCAATCAAGTAAGCGGTAGGTAATGGAATCGGTAAAATGCTATTGGCCATAGAAATATAGTTCTCTAAACGTCTTTCATCTGAATCGCCCAAGTATCTAGAGGTATTCGTTATAAGTGATGCACTCAAGTCTAAACAATTAGTAGTTTGAGGATTACCACTAAGAATAGTTTCTCCAAAACGGGTATAATTTTCACCAACCGGGTTGCGATCCATACTTTCACCTCGAGTAGATAGCAAGAGTGGAATGTTAAATGGATAAAAATGGGCGGGTCGTAATAAATCCCAGCAACGACCTCTGGATGTTTGTTGATGCAAGTCTAGACGACTAGAATCCTGTCCTGAAATTAGTTGTTGGTGATAAAAAGCCAAGCAAAAGGAACAAGTAAATTGTTAAAGGTAATCAATGTACTTATTATTATTGTTTACAATAGTCAGTCACTCGGCTACAACACAGAACTTCGTACGTACGTACATTGGTCGCCATACCACTTTAGCACAAAGACAAAATTGTCAATTCAAATCCCATTTTGGTAGAGGTAGTAGAACTTTTGGAAGTAATCGAGAAGATCAGGGTTCGAAGATGTTATTCTAAGAGTATAATCCAGTGAAATAAATTTGAGAAGAGAAAGACGAAGGTCATGAGGAATGCAGAAGTATTTAGAATAACTAATCACTTGACCTACTAAATGAAACATACTACAATTCTCTTATTTACTAAACCATGAGGTGTAATTCAGGTTTAAAATTTAAAAACACAAATTCATAAATAGTATACAAAATTTGAACTAATTCCCTATTCCAAGCCGAAACATACCACCGAGTCAATAGTGAAGGTGTAAATAATCTCATAAAGCACTTTTTGAAATCAAGTTAGGAATTAGTACCGTGAGGACATTCAGCGACATTTTACTGCCACACCAATTCTTGGACATGATAATTTTTCAGCTCCTCTCAAATTAGGAGAAGAATGTAAAAGAGAAAACTGTATGCTAACAAAAAGTCTGTAACCTACATAAACTACTATTTCTTCCCTCCTTAGTTTTGAAACACTGAACATGTAATTATGTTTTTATTCAATGTGTGTTGCTTAAATACACTAACTGTCCATAATAAGTTGCATATCACAAATAATTACACTCTTGTGTTCTGTAGCTGTGTTCTAAATATATCCATGGTCACGCAGTCTTTTGTTTCCAGTTTATTGATTAGGCTAATGGACAATAATATTGACAGTGTTATGTATATTCTAGGCCATACTTCAGTTCCCCTTTTCTCAATTCAAAACATTGGGTTGATGAACTCCTTCACCACACTGGGGCACCGAGCGTCCAAAAGGATACTGACTTTTTGAGTGGACTCGATTAGCAGTTGTCTCCAGCAAAGATCTTTACAAGTTAGATGCAACCTTATTAGTCCGTGTAACTGCTTAGTCATTTATTAGTGTATACATGTTATTTTTAAGTGCAAATAATCAAGTCTTTGGTTTATATGTAGCAATTAACAATTGGGCGCTATTATTATAAGTTCATAGGTCGGGTTACTAAAAATCCAACGAGCCCTTTTTTCCTAAAATTTTAATTTCGAGTTCACATATAGCTGGCTAATCATAGTTTTCCTTTGCAGTGGGTCATTTTTGCAGAATATTTCAGTATGGATGATTGTTTTCTTTCATATTCCAACATTTTGCAAATAACTGATTGTTTTCCTTGCTTAAATTTTCCATAATATGATTACTAAACAACACACTTGATTTATAAAAGCACCATGACCCTGACGTCAACCACTTACACCTTATTGGTTTGACTTGGACATAGTCAGTGAGAGATTAACTTTGATCCACAAAAGACCTTAGTCTATTTCCAGAATCATATCAAATAAGTTCAGATGCAACCTACATCATGAGCAGGCACTTCGTCCTATTTAGAGAAACCTATATGGCAACATGAAAGATATTGTTGTCAATTTTAAGTATTTTAGGAACTAGATAGAGACAAGTTTACTTAGTCGTTACTAATACATGCTACTCTTCATCGCGTTTTCAATTTTGAATAAAAAAGAAAAAGCGATTATCTTAAATCCAATTAGTTTAGCCGAGGTTGTCAGTGTAGCTTAATTTTGTCATAAAGCTATCACCGGAGGGTTCGATGTAGTACAATATATGAACAAGAACCTGTCTACAAAATTTTTTCGGTAGTCACCCTTCCCTGTTAGGTCTTCACAAAGCGCTTTCTAGTGTAATATAAGTCAGAAAATGGTTGCTCAGAAATAAACTACCCTAAATGAATACCCGGTCAAACTGTACGAAGATGTTATGTGATCTACGAGGTGTTAGTTGGTTTGTCAATCTGGATAAGACACGTTAATCAATTGAAAGCAACTTATACATCTATTAATGAAAACTATCATGGAACCATTAATAAGTTCCTGTTCCTGAACAACTCCGCCTGGAACCCGATCTCGGTTAATGCCAGTTCCAGGCCCAGACAAAGGAGGATGCTTAGGTATGGGCTTACCGACCACACAGCGTGGAAAACTGACTCGCTAAAAAACGATAAGTAAGTAATCTGTTATAGAACACAGAGACAATACGTCTTTACCCTTAACAAGGTGGACTAATAGGAAGTGCAAACCAGTCATTCTGATGAAAGTGGATCATAACACTAGTTACTACTAATACGCTCAAAGGAGAGTTGTTAGTAGGATAGAGCCCCGACTATGACATGCTGTGGTTAGGCCCAAATCCGGACAATCAATTTGGTGGTAGAATAATGCTAGATAATATAAATTCTACATCAATTAAAATGTTTTTAGCACTGTATCTCAGTTGATCAGGTTCATTGAAATGAGTTATTTTCTTTTAATTCTTATTATTAGTTGGGCAAAGTCGAATGAATTATAATGTCCAAAGAACACTAGACAGTTAGAACATAATGCAATCTCTTTCTCATTTTAACTGAACATAGAAAAACTGGTTAATTTCTAAACAAATGAAAGTTTAGAAAACATTAATTTATTTAGAATTGAACTTCCATCGTTCACAAGTAGAGCATGAGGTTATAATTTGTGCTTGATCAACAGTATCACGAATGTGCATGAAGATTTAAGGATAAGGTGAAATCCTTATTTGGTATACTACTATTGCCCAACATCTTTCATTAAGCACAAAGCAATGAAAGAAATTAAAATTTGATATGATGCATTTAATGCCAATTTCGTTTATTTATAGGATGGTTTTGATCACAGAAAGAAATCGCTCACAAAATTAGTGAAAACTAATATCTATAGCATAGTTGCTTCGTTTTCACATCACAGTATTCCTCTAATTGATGTCAATTTGTAAATTAACTGATCCTCAAATTTCAAAACATGAATACATGCGAAGGAGAACTATTTGTTAAGTGTAGCATTCAATATAAATAATTTAAGGCCTATTTTATAGTTATACATTAATACAACAAATACTCACCCAATAAAAATGGACGATCCCAATAATTAACTTTTGGACTAAGATTTACCTTGTTCAAATGATCTACAAGTTTCATATACGTTGTATGAAAGGGAGCTAATAAGATTTCTTCATTGCCAACAAGTGTTACACTGCCAGGTGTAGGGGTACCTGGGGTAGAATTATATGTACCTGCATTACTCCCAGGAATATTTGAAACAATCATAGATCCACTTGTATTTGGAATAGGAGGTTGAATCAATATTGGATGAGATTGTATAGATAAGTGTAAAGTGCACCGACGACAAGAAGATAAAACAGCACGACGACAGGCCGCAATAATCAGACAATCTTCACAATGGTTAAGTTGGAGAGTATTTTCAATCGGTCCTAAAACAATGGTCAGCTTACGACATTTATCCAATGTAACAGACCTACAAAATGTATTCAAGGACTTTTAGTGGAATACACAACATGCAATCTAAATATTTCCACTTATTTATACATAAAAAATCGAGTACAAAGTTTTCTATAATAGTGAACAATGAAATCGCAACCGTTTGACTCAACGATAACTAAAAATAATAGAATATCCTCATGAAAAAGAAATCCGTAAGACAATGATTACACAAACATTGCTCCCTCCATATTTAGTTGTAAACAAATGTTATTAGGAGTAACTAGCATAAAACTCAACATTTTACGACTATTAATATCGAACAGATAGCATTTGTGTTAGTAATTTACGAAAGCTGTACATTCATGCACAACACGTTTAAAAAGAATACTACAATAAAAGAAAATGAAAGTTGGCTATGTGCAACCATATAAATTTGTTATGAGCAACACATTTATCATCATTGGAAGGAACAAGATGTAAAGTACAAAAATTAAACGTCTTGAGTAATTAGCTGCATACGAAACCCACTGAACGGATGACAACACATTGAAGTAAACCTATCATATAAGAAAAAAACTTAGTGGTTGCTTTTGAAAGAACAGCTATACATCATATAGTTTCATCAAAACTCTTTTTACATTTAGTTCTTTTTACTATCGTGAAGAGGGCAAGAACAGAGAACAAGAAAGAACTACATGGATTCATTTTATTCCGTAGGATTCTCATCAGTTGTTTACAATTCATAATATTTTAAAAATCAGAATTATTGTAAAGTTTACGTACTTACAACAGTAAAAACGGTAGGTAGCACATCATAGTGGAGTAGTGAAATTGTAAACATATAGTGTTCTGAATAAATATAATGAGAGAAGATTCTCGATGATAAGACGTATAAAGAAGGAATTATAGAGATATGATAATTAGTAGGTTGATTATATAGTGAATTTGTGAAATCACAAATTAATAGTGATTAGAAATAACTTAGGGTAAGCCCATTCAATAAGGTAGTGAATTTGAAAGTGATGCAATTGAAATAAGGCAGATTAATTTATGGGCAGGAATGACGTAATCAACTGACGATAGAGTCAATTAGTCGTTAATAGTGTAATCAGTCAGTCAGTCAGATGCAACGTACATAAGTACATCAGTTCATGTTGCCATACCAAATCAGCACAGAGAAGTAATCGTCAATTCAAATCCAATAGTAGAAGAGGTAGTAAGGGAATTAGAAGTAATCGGAGAGGTTAGGATTAGAAGATACTATTCAAGAAGTATGATTCAGTGAGAAAAGTTTAGGTTAATAGTGTAATACAAACTGTGGAAAACGAAAACGGACTATTCTACTATATATTAAAAATACGTCGAATGTAACAATTTAATTAAGACAATAGGAGAGTTATGAATATAAAACCAACAGATAAAACTTCCCTTGATAAATGATCGAGTTCAAAAGTTGAGTGCAAGTGAGCTGGACAGGTACTGGAATTTTTCTCCGCCTTTGAACCCAGGCAATCGCTCATTCTCAGAAACAGTCCAGACATTAAGCCAACATTTTGGCAACAACTCGTCATTGTTTAATACTCGTTATCAATGTTTGAAGCTAGTTATGAACGAGGACGATGATTTCCTTACGCAAGTGGGCATCGCCAATCGTGAATGCGAACTAATTATGGACTTTAGTTCGCAAAACGCCGCGTCATACTCTTTAGTCTAGTTCCAAGTGCTGTTCTTCTGCAGTAGACAATTTATTGGAGACAATTATTATGCATCGAAGGAACAAACGCTGAATAGCTCGGAATTGTTGTTACCGAACTACAAACCGGCCGTCGGCATCAAAGATGAACCCCAAATACTTTACCGACTGCAATAAAAATTGATATTTCTCTAGGCGTAACCGGAAACCGTTGTCAGTGATGCGTTGTAGCACCAATGTCGTGCGTTCCTGTAGCTGTTCTGAAGTCGTCGCGACAATCAAAATGTCACTGAGATAAGCCGCGACGTCCGAGACACCTGATAGGATAGTATCCATTAGTTGTTGGAAGATAGATGGGGCGGTCTTGATTCCAAAAGGCAGACGGTTGTACTGGAACAAACAACGATGAGTATTGATGGTAAGCACCTCTCTTGATGCTTCATCTACTTCCACTTGAAAATAAGCATCAGCTAGATCCAGTTTTGCGAAAAAATTTCGCCCATTTAACAAAATAAACAGATATGAGGGAACTGGCAGTGGATAATGATGTTATTCCAGCGGTGCGTTGAGACCTGTAAAAATTCAGCACATATACGTAACGTGCCGTTGGTCTCCTTGATAAGAACTATATGTGCTGCTCAAGCAGAGTAAGAAACAGGCCTAATAACGCCTTGTTGTTGAAGGCGATTCAGTTCTTCATCTGCTGTTGGTAATGTTGCATAAGGCATGGGTCTCTGGACGGAAAACAGGCTTAGTCCCAGGTTTCAACCGAAGTGTTGCTTTCATGGCAGAACGTCGACCTAATCCACGTTGGAAAATGGTTGAAAACTGACTCGTTAGATTCCTCGTATATAATTCGGGGTCATGTGGTAGTGATACCAGATGGCATATGGTAATTAATGGGACACCAGCTAATTTTAACTGGTCGAACCAATCTAAACCAAGTAAATTTAGATCAGCTGGCATTATATAACATACACCAGTAAATGACGAGTCTCGGAAGGTAACTTTACATTCTAATTGTCCTAACAGACGAAGATAATTACCACATGCTGTACGAGGCTTCTGCGTTGTGTGCTGCAGGCTTGGGCTACCCAATTCGGTCCAATTTTCGCGTGAGCGGATGGTGACGTCAGATGCAGTATTTATTTGCAATCTACACAAATGTCCGTTAATATTAAGAGTAATAAATTTCCTCTCAAGTGGTGATGAGCTTTGACAGGAAGATAGTAGGCTCAACGAATTGGTACCGGATCTCGGAACCGACTTCTTGGTACTTCTTGATCGGTTTGGCTTTCTCTTTGGACAAAAACCATCTTCATGACCGACGACCTTACACATCCTGTATCGACGTTGCCTGAATGGGCAGTTTCGTACATTGCCATGAACCACAGTGCCAGCAAGGAGCAGAGGGATTTGTTTTCGTTTTCCGGACTGACCTGGAGTGGGATGGACTGGGTGTAGCAGAGGCACATGCACTTCAGATCGACTATACCGACCACTCTGCACCATGGTCGTGTCTCGTTGCAGATTAATGAGGCGTTGGTATCCATTAGCCATATCACTAAGGGTGAGTTTAGGATCTTGCTCCAATCTACACAGTAGCTGTGTACTTATGTCACTGAACTTTTGGGACTGGAACCTGCAAATGAGGATTAGGGATTTAAAGTGGTCTTCCAACAAAGACTTCAACCAGAAGCATTCGCATTCACGATTGGCGATGCCCACTTGCGTAAGGAAATCATCGTCCTCGTTCATAACTAGCTTCAAACATTGATAACGAGTATTAAACAATGACGAGTTGTTGCCAAAATGTTGGCTTAATGTCTGGACTGTATCTGAGAATGAGCGATCGCCTGGGTTCAAAAGCGGGGTCAAATTACAGTACTTGACTAGCTCATTTGCGCCCAACCTTCGAAGTAGCATCCGAACCTTCCACGTATCATGTTGATTGACGAAATCACATTTACATAGATCTTTATAACTTTGGAACCACATGTAAAAATTAACACTGGCAACCCGATCATAAAAAAACTCAGCTATGGTATTTACTGGTGGTGCTGTGGTTGCATTAGATAAGCTAGGCTATGTGGAAGGTAAATCTTGATATCTGTCTGTTGCAACGCTTGCTTAGATAATTCCCAGCTAAATCTTATTGCTTAGTATTCTCTGACCACAATACACTGGACAAGTTCCATAGCATCAAAAACACCGTGGAACAGGAAAAGATTATATTCCAAATAGCAAGGTTAGATGGAAATAAGAAGCAGAAGGCGAAGGCAAAATAGATACAACGTTAGTTTCTTTATAGTATTTACATGAGAAGCTTCTGTATAGTGATTCGCGTGATCGACTGGATTAGATTTAGTCAATCAGAGTGCAGCTAGCAACACGAGAATTTCCTACCCTGTTCTCCAAGAATCGAACAGGCGCTGATTGGATAGGAAATTAGCCAATCAGCGCGCAGCAACGTAGTCATGCTTTAATTCTATGTCCCACTAACACTGTCAACATTTGTATTAGTTGCAGCTGCTGCTCAAGTAATAATTCAAGTTTCGATTGATCTATGTTTCCAAAACCTCCATCATAGATATGCTCCTAGATATAACCTTATCCTCGTCTGAATTTTCAAGAGTGGACATTCTACCAGGAGACACTCTTGTTGACTTAGAATATGCCGATGACATAGTTCTTCTTGGTGAAGACACTGACAATGCAGAGTCTTCTGACTACCCCAAGCAACTAAGCATTCATGTTTGGGATGCGATTTTTCCCCTCGAAATGCAAAATGTTGCTTCAAAATTGACTTGTATCGGCACCTGAACCAGTGATCGGGAGTGAAGTAGTCGAGCATGTAGACTGCTCCACTTATCTGGAGAGACTAATCAGTACCGACGGCCTGGTGACTGACGAAATGTCAGCACGGATGCTCGTCTTCGATCATAGGTGTCTCCGAAGCGTTGCTCGTGTATCATGGGACAATCGTATAAGCAATACTGCCATTAGGAAACGGGTGCTAGGTAAGGATGGCAGGTTAATCAATGAAGTATTGCAACTTCATCAGTTGAGGTGGTTGAGACATGTGTTGCGTATGCCGAACCAACGACTGCCTATTCGAGCTATGTTTTGCGGTGTAGGAATAGGTTGGAAGAAAGCTAGGGGTGGCTAGACCAAAACATGGCAGAAATCCATGAAGTCACTGACAAGTGGACTGAGTCATGTCCGTAGGTGTCGACTACCTGGTTGGGGTCTGCTAGACAAATGTCTCCGATGGTTAGAGACCCTGAATGACATGGCCCAGAATCGTTTGCAATGATGCATGTGCATTCTTTATGTTCTATAAAATTCTAACCTTCTGAATTCCACATCACTTTATATTTTTCATTTTAAGTTTATTTCCCTAGATTCTACTTCTGAATAATATCTTCGAACCGTAATCTTTCGGATTACTGCTAATACTTCTACTACCTCTACTAGTATGGGATTTGAGTTGAAAATCTCATTTCTGTGCTAATGTGGTATGGCAACTTGAACTTATGTACGTACGTACGAAGTTCTACGTTGCTGTTGATTGATTGATTGAAATGAACCACATATAAAAATACGCATTTGTCCGATAATTTTTAGCCTTTTGTTAACCTACTCCGATATCAGTTATTACAACACTTGGAGGTACACAATGGTTAAGAACAACTATGTTGTCTTATTATATTTACCAGTTATTGTGGATAATCATAAGTTAATAATAAATAGTAAATTAACAATTTTAGAAAACTAACAAATCCACTGCAGTGACATTGGTCTGCAGTCAATAGATCATGGTTTTACACACTGATCCAACTCGTTTGATATCAGTAACAGGATAAGTATTACTAGCTCTCATTCAGAGCCCGTGGATCAAAACAGTAAGTATAAATCCGTGCTTAATGATTTCTACAGGTAACTATACTAATTTGAGCACACAATGATACGGTAAAAAAATTTGAGACCTATGAAATATAACTTTCTATTAGACTAACATAACCTTCGGTTTTGACTGACTTTTTCTTGATAATTTACAGTCATTATTAAAATCAACTCCAGAACAAATAGAACCAGAAAAATATCATCAACGAATAATTGGAACTACTGACACATTTGTATCAGTAGTTTGGATTAAATAGTTGAAACGTTTTTAGGCATGTTCAGGTATTGTATCTAAGATTTTCAGTTTTCCCGTCTTTGATATTATAGAATGCATTTGATCAGTCCCTACTGGTATTTGCATCCTCAGTGGAATGCTTTAAAAACACCACAATACATGAGTGTTGTCATTTTAGCTAGCAGTTCCATCCAAGACACTCACCTCGCTCCACATAAGATTCATCAGCCTATAATAAAAAACCTTGTAACTGACAATGTCCAGATACTTCATTCAGGATAAGTAGAAACCAATACAGATTGATGAAACGCAATCCATAACACCAACAACAAGGAGGTTCAAACCCTTTATAAATAACTTCAAATCTGTTGGAAAAGCCAGTGGCTCTACGGACTTTATAGCTAGGGGGATAACGTATTGGCATTTAGATAAAAAAAACACTACGTCCCATTCTTACAGTAAACAATAACAGACAGACAGACAGATGCAACGTAGAACTTTGTACATAAGTACATCAGTTCATGTTGCCATACCACATCAGCACAGAGATGTAATTGTCAATTCAAATCCAATAGTAGAAGAGGTAATAAAGGTATTAGAAGTAATCGGAGAGGTTAGGATTAGAAGATATTATTCATGAAGTATGATTAAATGAGAAAAGTTTAGAAAGTCAAAACTAGAGGTGTTGAAGAATCCAGAAGATTAGGATTTGAGAGAACACAAAGAATAAATGCAACGGCGCCATTCCGAAGGATTTTGAGCCATGTCATTCAAGGTCTCTAACCATCGATTATTATCATCTCGCGGGCCCCAACCAGGTAGTCGACAATTACCGACATGGCTAAGTCCACTCGTCAATGACTTCATGGATTTATGCCATGTTTTGGTTTGGCCGCCCCTAACTTTCTTCCAACCTACTCCTACACTACAAAACAAGGCTCGTCGAGGCAGTCGGTGGTTCGGCATACGCAAAACATGTCCCAACCACCTCAACTGATGAAGTTTCATCACTTCATCGATTGCTCTCCCATCCTTACCTAGTACTCGTTTCCTAACGACAGCATTGCTCACTCGGCTGTCCCACGGTATTTGAGCAATGCTTCGAAGACACCTATGATCGAAAACCAGTAACCTACGAATAACTTCTACTCTCACTGGCCATGTTTCACAGCCATATAGGAGAACGGAGCGAACTGCTGCGCAGTACACTCGTCCTTTAATTAGAGAACGGATATCACGCCTACGCCATAAGTGACGCAGGTTGGCAAAAGCCAATCGAGCCTTCTGTATCCGAGCTGAGATTTCGTCAGTCACCAGGCCATCGGCACTGATGAGACTCCCAAGATAAGTGAAGCGGTCTACACGTTCGACTACTTCACTCCCTATCACTAGTTCAGGTGCCGATGCAACCAAGTCTTGAAGCAACATTTTGCATTTATATCCAAAAGAAGAGCTACAAATTAGATGAAAGCCGAATCAAAGATTATACCAGAAATCTTTATTCCATCTTAATTAAAATATCGAAAAACTGTTTAGTAATTTTTTCGGAAACCAATGAAATCGAGAATATCATGAGTAGAGCAAAGAATAAACCCAAATATGAGCAAGAATGAAGTACCGGAATGGTTTGGTTTATGGCTGTTGATTTACCAAGCATTTTAGAGAGCAAATGTGCACCATGTAGCAGTGATAAACTTTAATCACCAAATATTTGCTGGTAATAATAACGAGAAACCACTTAATAAGGAACTACAATAATAAGCCGCTAATTTTATTGAATAAAAATGTGAGGTGGAAAATACCATATTACATAATTAAAAGTTTTTTAACACAAATTTCCATTAGAAAGAAACATTAATATTGATAAACTAACCTCATAGGTGACAGCAGATATAAATAACTACAACGGGCACGATGTATTTTAAGCGTTGCAGCATCAAGTGTAGCAGAACTCTGAAATCGAAACGAAATGATTCCAAGAAGAATTTTAATACTAACTGATAAGTACTTGTACCTCCACCTGGAGCCCCAGTGGGGCTACTGCCGGCTCCAAGCCCGGATAAAGGAGGGTCGGACATGCGGTTGACAACCCCATCCCGTAGAAATCTAACTCGCTACAAAAACACTAACAAGAAAAATCAATTCAAATTATTCTAACTCTGCCCTGAAAGTTACAACGTCTTCATTCAGAAGAGTTATGACGTCTCATGATGAAAGCCCAGTTCCTTCAGAACTTACGAGGACGACACCCCTTCTCACAACCAGAGCAATCATTCTTTTAGGCACAAGGAATGTTCGAACAATGTAGTAGACCGGAAGGCTATTCCAAATCGCTGCATAAATGAAAAGACAACCTGGATGTCCTAGGAATCAGTGAAACACATTAGACACAGGTAGGACAACTGAGACTAGTTTCAGGGGAACTGCTGTTATACTTCGGACATCAAGAAGAAAATGCCTCACACACACAAGGCGTTGCATTGCTGCTGTCCAAACAAGCACAAAAGGCACTGATAGGATGGGGATCTCATGGACCCAGGATCATCAAAGCATCCTTCAAAACAAAGACATAGGGCATTACGATGAACGTCATCCAGTGCTACGCACCTACCAACGACAACAGTAAAGACGTTAAGGATCGATTCTACGAGAGGCTGCAGTCAGTCATCGAGAAACGCTCAACAAAGGGTTTGACCATTCCGATGGGAGACCTAAATGCCAAGGTTGGCATGGACAACACCGGATATGAAGACACCAATGGACGACACGGAGTGGGAGAAAGGAATGAAAATAGTGAGAGATTTGCAAACCTATGTGCATTCAACAAACTGGTCATCAGTGGCACAATATTCCCACACAAACACATTCACAAAGTGTTAGGATATTCACCAAATATCCTAAGAATACTATTTTTAGAACTGCAATCCTATTGGTCGAATTCTATTGGCCGAAATTTTGATCGTTCTTACCGTCAGGGTCAAATACTTCAATGTTACCTCTTATTGGTCATCTGGACGGTCAATGTCATTCAAATGTTCTTTTCTATTGGTCGTCCTAAATTGTCAATGTCACGGACGTTGATGCTTTTTCTCATTCGACCTTAGTGCATAAATACGCGCTATCTGGAAGACTCAATAATTCCGTTTCCCCTGTCTACTTCTTCTTCTGTTTTCGACCCAATAAACATCTTCCTTCCACGGTGTTACGTTCTGATTTCTAGGAGATTTGGAAAGCCTTTTGGGTCGTATTGTGATATTTGAATTGGACGCCGTTAGGACTGAAGAGTTTTACGTAGCCGCGTTTACAACACAAAGCTACATCGATTTCACCGAATCACATTACACAGAACCAAATCGATCACATCTATATTACTAAAACGTTCAGAAGAACCATGGAGGATGTGAGAACAAAGAGAGGAGCTGATATAGCCTCAGATAATCACCTGCTGGTCGCCAAAGCGAAACCGAAACTCAAGGAGCACTGGGCGATGAGGCGGACAACATCACAAACGTCTAATACGGCCTTTCTTCTGGATACTGACAAACTCAACGAATTCAGGATAGCACTCAGCAATAGGTACCAGGCTTTCCAGGTCCTACTCCATGCAGAGAGAACTATTGGAAAGGGATCAAGATCATCTGCAGCAGGTCTCAATATACATAGAGGTAAAAACAAGACCCTTCGATACAACACAAAATGAGGCAACCAAATCATTATTGATGGGGACGCCTTGGGGGACGTAGAAACCTTTACATACCTGGGCAGCATCATCGACAATCAAGGTGGATCGGATGCAGATGCGAAGGCACAGATCGGGAAAGCAAAGGCTGCATTTCTACGACTGAACAACATCTGGAACTCCAAACAACTATCAACAAACACCAAAGTCACAATTTTCAATATAAATGTCAAGACAGTTCTACCATATGCGGCAGAAACTTGGAGAACTACGAAAGCCATCATCCACAAGGTATAAGTGTTTATCAACAGTCGTCTACGCAAAATCTTTCGAATCCGTTGGCCAGATATCATCAGCAACAACCTATTGTGGGAAAGAACAAACGAGATTCCAGCTGAGACAGAAATCAGAAAGAAGTGCTGGGAGTGGATAGGCCACACGTTGAGGAAAATACCCTACTGCGTCACAAGACAAGTCCTCACTTGGAAACCTGAAAGTCAAAGGAAAAGAAGAATGCCAAGGGACACATTACACCGAGTAGTGGAGACAGAAATGAGAAGAATGAACAAAAGTTGGGCAGAACTGGAAAGGGAAGCCCAGGACCGAGTAGGTTGGAGAATACTGGTCGGTGGCCTATGCTCCACTGGGGTTAGAGGCGTAAATGAAAATAAAATAAATGAAATGATAAGTATTTAAGAAGATAGACAAGTCATGTCAATATACATGAAGAGCAATTCAATCGGTAGGAAATTTAAGCTGCACCTTAAACATTCCCAATCGATAACAAATAGTACATCAAGATAAGCGATACGAACATCTATATTCTGTAATTTTTCCAAATCGCAAAAATTCTATGACTGTTTCTATATTCTTCCGATCATTCATTTTGTTCCATCAGTTTATTTTAATATATCTTCCATTTTTATTTATTTTTGTATACTTTGTTAAATGTAAAAATCGAACCGATCTACATCTGTAACAAGTCTTATGTCGTCCATGATTACCGTCATATTCAAACGACCTGAGCAAAAATAAAGTTATGTGTGCTCAAATGCTTTCAAAATAAATTCCATTTTGAATAAGATGACAGCCCATGTGTCTATAACAAGAGAGTTAGCAGTTCGGATTTAGATAATAAGGTTGCTCTTATTGATAGAACCTGTTACGTTGAATGGAATAAATTTAGAACAAATATGTTTCGATGAATTATAAATACAATTACTGGATTATTATCTTCATTGGTTAAAGTAATGAAGACAGAATTTTCTATACTAAACAGTTACACAGAGTATACATGATACAACGGATATCAGGGCAGCATTGTTATGGAATGATAGAAAAAGTTAATATATTTGTATATTGGACTAAAAATTTTCTATGACGATTTAACATAGTAGTGGTAACATTACTTATTTTAATGAGATTAATTTTCTATAAGAAACTTTACTGATCAATAAAAAAACAAGCGATTCAAGGCTAAAATAAACTTACGCGAGCAATAATTTGGCGAGAAATCATTGACATAACAACCAATTTGTTTCTATAACATACAATTAAAAACGTGTAAGAAAAACAAACTTAAATGATATTACTTAGCAATATTTTAACAACATAGTGAAGAACAGTGAACTACATATATATAACTTGGAGGACTGATAGACAGGTTATTAAAATAGCCTACTAGGATAAAAGCCGAATGCAATGTTAGGTTGTGATTATTAGAACAGACTTCGAATTATAAATGTTTCATATGCTTAATGTCATAAAAAGAAACTGGTATTATGAATCCGACTGTAAGTGAGACTATTTCGGAAAAGGATGGGCTTGTTATCCATTCTCGACCCAGGAGATTGGATCGATAGAACGCGATTGCTTTAATAGAAACATTCATTATTATGACCAATTCTAACAGCTTTGTTTAACTGTACCTCTTATTTATAACACGTTTTACGCGCAACATTCTGTTTGTGTTGCTGCCATTCTTAGCTGTATCTGCTTTTTAATTCGCCCACTTTCCTGGTTTAATTTCGGTGTTCTTCCGATACCACGAAATTCACCAGCAAATATATTCTTTACCCTGGATTTATTTATCTTTACAGTGACGGGTTTCTTAATGAGTATTTTGTGGTGATCATAGTCAATCTCCAATCGGTCGGACATGTCGGTTGAGACATGTGTTACATGTGCCTAACCATGACTGTCTCGACGAGTGATGTTTTTTGGTGTAGGAGTAAATTGGAAGAAAGCTAGGGCGGTCAGATTAAAACATGGCAGAAATCCATGAAGTCACTAAAAAGTAGACTGAGTTATGTTGGTAGGTGTTGACTACCTGGCTGGAGGATGCGCGACGATAGTAACCGATGGCTAGAGACCTTGAACTACATGGCTAAAAATCGTTTGTGATGACTCAGGTGCATCCTTTCTTTGGCTTCTCTCAAATTCTAATCCTACGGATTCTTCATCACCCTTATCTTTCTCTTTTTAAGTTTATTTCACTAGATTTTACTTCTTGAATAATATCTTTGAACCTTAATCTTCTCCATTACTGCTAATACTTCTACCACTTCTACTAATATGTGATTTGAATTGACAATTGCGTCTCTTTGTTGTAGTATGGCAACTTGAACTGATATAAGTATGTACTAAGTCCTACGTTGTAACTGACTGACTGGCTGACTAATTTCATAAAGTGCATGACAAATGTAACTTCAAACTTGGGATCGATTTTTAAACAGTGAAGTGTGAATTCTCCACGATCTTACCCACTATGACCTCCAGTTCGCGGAACTTGGTGTGCGTTCGTCGCAATCTTCTGACGCTTTATGATATCATTTTGTGACTGTTGCTGACTATTGTTGAAACCAGATTCATGATCCAAAACAACTTGGTGAGGAAGACGCCACTGTAAACGTCGACCGTTTCGAATACAGTTTTCAACTGAAAATGGGTTTTGTGTTAACCATGAACGAATCCACGAAAGGAGACCACGTAAATGGAAAGCATGTGTAACCTATAAAAGAAGATTTCATATACATCTAAGCAAACAAAGTGAATGGAGACAATTAAAAAAAATAAAGCAGTTATGTATTAAAAATACTTATCTTAGATTATGGTACAATACAGACGGTTGCGTTCCACTTTATTTCGGGAAATATTAGTACAGCTAGGATTTATCACAAAGTGACTGATAACGACCTCCAAATGAAAAGTGATTTTGTGTGGCTCGCGTCAAACGCCTAGCAACGCTCTCTAAATGATACTATCCAAATGGTGAAAAAAACTAAAAACTATAATGAATAACAGTAATTCGTGAGCCATGTTATGACAAAGTTTTAAACAAACATTTGCCATTAAGTTCGCTTATACAAGATATATTTTGGTGGGGTACGATCAGTGTGAGTTTCCATAATAAGAAATCAAAAACATATGTTAACAGAAGTAATTTTTTAACCTATTCTTACTTTTAAAACGTAAGCAAATAACAAGGAAATACCTTGGAATAACCAGTCGCAGGGAGAATTGTTGATATATGTGCAAGTTCTGAAAATGAATTAAGAGTCCTGAAACAAAAAAAAGGTTAGAAGTGAGCAAAATTAGTCGCACCTTCCTTTATCGGCTGATCCTTCCAAAATAAGATCCAAAGCTTCAACAGCACCCTCAGACAATGTTGCATCCATATTATTTCCCCCATGGTTATCTGAATAAAACATATAGGACTTTAAGTAGTGAAATTTGAGCGCATACTATTTGTTTTATATCTAGAATCCATTTGCAATCAACATTTGTCCATTAATGCACAATGAGAAGTGAAGAAAAGTCAAAGAAAGAATGCACCTGCGCTATTGCAAACGGTTTAGCAGCTAGATTGACTGGAATCTTAGGTAGAATCTGGGAAATGGACGTAATCCCATCCGACTGGTCTCAATCCCTGATTGTCCCAATTTATAAGAAAGGACAAAAGTCTTCTTGTGACAATCACAGAGGAATCAGTCTAACTAATATAGTTTCTAAATTGTTAGCCTCCATTATACTTAGACGCCTAACTAGAGCTCGTAGAGAGCAGACTAGAAAAAATCAGGCTGGTTTCAGACCTGGACGTAGCTGTATAGACCAAATTTTTACACTACGACAGGTCCTGGAACACAGACACATATATGGGCGTCCGAAAATGGTTGTCTTCTGGACACAAAGGCGGCATTTGACTCTGTTGATCGTGAGGTTCTGTGGTAGTGTCTGTCATGAGTCATCATCATCAATAGCAACGTAGAACTCTGCCTTTAAGTACAGCAGTTCCAGTTGACATACTACATTAGCACAGAGATATAATTGTCAATTCAAATGCTATAGTAGTAGAGGTAGTACAAGTATTAAAAGTAATCGGAGAGGTTAGGATTAGAATATATTATTCAAGAAGTATAATTCAGTGAGGTAAATTTAGGAAGAGAAAGATAGAGGTGAAGAGGAATTCATAAGGTGTCAGAGAACACAAAGAGTAAATGCACCTGTGCCATTGCAAACGGTTTTGAATCACATCACTCCAGGTGTCTAACCATCGGTGACTTTCGTCTCAGGGAACCTAACCAGGCAGTCAACACTAAACGACATGACTCAGTCCACTTGTCAGCGACTTCGTGGATTTTTGCCATGTTTTGGTCTGGCCGCCCCTAACTTTCTTCCAACCTACTCCTATACCACAAAACATAGCTCGACGAGGCAATCGGTGGATGTCCCAACCACCTCAACTGATGAAGTTTCAATACTTTGTCTATTGATCTGCCATTCTTACCTGGTACTCGCTTCCTAATGGCAGCATTGCTTACTCGGGTGTCCCACGATACTCGACCAATGCTCTTAAGACATCTGTAATCGATAACTAGTAACCTACGAATATCTTCTACTCTCACTGGCCATGTTTCGGATCCGTATAGGAGAGCGGAGCGAACTACTGCTCAGTACACTCGTCCTTTGGTAAGAAAACGCATATCTCGTCTACGCCGTAAGTGACGCAGGTTGGCTAAAGCCAATCGAGCCTTCTGTATCCATGCTGAGATTTCGTCACAAACCAGGCCATCAGCACTGATGAGACTCACCAGAAAAGTAAAGTGGTCGACACTCTGAACTAATTCACTCCCTATCACTAGTTCAGATGCCGTTGCAAGCCTATCTTGTAGCAACATTTTGCATTTCTAGGGTGAGAACCGCATCCCGAGCATGCTTGCATTGTTGCTCAGGTTAGTCAGAAGACTGTATTTTGTCAGCGTCTTTACCGAACAGAACTACGTCATCGGCATGTTCTACATCAGCAAGCGATTTTCCAGGCAGAAAGTCCACTTCTGGAAATTGAGATGAGGATAAGGTTATATCTACGAGCATGTTGATGACAAAAACAAGAATAGGGAAAGTGGACATCCTTGACGTACACCACTTGAAGTAAAGAATTCCGATGACAGTTCGCCATAAGCTCTAACTTAACCAGTGGTGTTCGAGTAGAGAGCTTGTATAAGGTTAATGTACTTCTTTGGTACACCTTTCAATGACACACTGCCGTAGAACCTTACGGTATTCATAATACCGATGAATTTATGATTTAATATCAGTGGGCAGAATACTAATTAATGGATGAATGTAACTGTAAGTGGCCAAGGGATTATTGCTCATGAAGACTAAGTATTGACTAAAGGCTTCGAATAATCAGAAATGAATGACAAAAACCTTTAAATGAAGTACCATGTAATAAAATAACATAGTTATTCACAAAATATGAACAAAAAGAATTTATAGAATAATAGGCAATTTAGGGGAATAAGCATTTTTGTCACCAACTACGAAGTCAATTACAACATGACTGTACAGAGTGATTTTTACGCACCGTATCCACAAGTACATATACAATGGAAAAAACTTACCAGGTTCAACAAGAAGATCGAGAATTTCATTCAAATTTTCACTGATAAACTGGAAATGATATTGCTCATCTAGATTCTAAAAACTGAGGATCAAATCAACACAGTTACGCGACATAATCTGATGGGAGTTGAACGGCCTGAATCCAACTCGGATGAACGACTGTAACTACCCGGCCACCTAGTAGAGAAAATAAACACTCCATGTAACTAACTCAGCACTCGCTGAAACTGCTGATGCCCGTAATGATATCTTGTTAATTTGTTGTATATACAGAAATAGTACAAATGTGAACAAATCAACCGACTGAGAAGCTCGAATTCTCTCTACAAACAATGTAAATCAGAAAGTGCGTAACTACCAGCATCTGATACGTTCGCTGCATTAAATATCCTCTCATCAACATCTTTCAGCTTCTCATATTGTGTCGCCGACATGGTCAGACAGGTATGGAAAAGGCTAAGCAATCAAATAAATTGAGGTTAAACATACACCCAAGCCAAATCCTCAGTCAGCTGAAGCTTATTACATGCTACGTGTTTCCAAACCGAATAACTATTGAAATGTTTGTCGGCCCATCAAATTTCACAGTGAGACATACCTCAATCGTGATCCAGTTTTACTTTTGGTTTTCGCATAGGAAACAAGCTTTTTGATATTCTATAGCATTAAATGATGCCTAGATAATTTATGAGAGTCCTCTTACATGAACAGCTAGTCGTGGATGAGGATGAACCTGAAATATGCCGTATGTGAATGGTTCTGCTCTAGGCCAAAGGCTTAGAGTTACGTGACTAGCCTTGCTCATAGAACTGACATCACATTCGACAACTTGAAGATACCGCAAATTCTAGGCTGAAAACATAACCTTCACGCGACCTCCAGATTAAGAAAAAGGTGATTTAAATGGCTTTTGGCGGAGCAAAGAAATTTTCGCTTATCGAGCCTCCATCCCTAGAATAAAACATTATACGGTTAAATCACATCAACGGAGCATGCAATTATGTAGTTTATTTCCTATAAAATTCAATCGGTCTTTGGTAGGAGGGAAAGCTCACGAGACTTTTTTAATTCTTGCGATTCATGGTTTTGTGCAGATCCGAACCACTTTGAATGTATCAATAGGAGACTATGACGTGATTCGTGTAATATTAACATTTATGATAATTTGTTTAACTATAAAACTACCCACAGTTTCCAATATCTGCGACCTTCATACGTTAGAACTATCACCTTATGATTTCGATGCCACGTGTAGAGGAAAACTTCTACGAATAAAACTTAGTTAGTGAAAAGGAAACATTTATTATTGTACTCAGTTGGTACAATAATTGTTTTATTGTATTCCTTTTGTTTAACGGTACAAAAATCCTTTATTGACCTCTTGCTAACGTTGCTTGGTTGCCTCAGTGGTTTTATCAGCTTTCGAATCGCTTGTCTTGATATTTTTCGATATCAAGAGACCAGCAATCAATACGCCTCAGCATCCAACCACAGCCTGCTTTTTGATATTTGGCCTTAACGGAATTTGATTTGGTTATCTCGCGCTCAGTAGTCTCACTTTGCTACAGTGGTGAGCGACGACTCTAGACACGCATCAATTGCTGCTAAATCTGCCAAATCAAATCAATCACGATGAGTGTGTTATTTTTCTAACAATATTTCATACTATTTTATTAGTTGTTACTTATCATATATCGGTATTTTCTAATATACATACTATAAAAGCAAAAACCTTCTATAATGATAGATAGAATAAAAAATGACGATTATATGATAGATTCCCACTCATTGGACAATACCGAACACCTGGAACCGCTCCGAAATAACGAGAATTGAGAGCAAAGAAATCGATTGGTTTATACTAGCTCGTGAAAAAGATATTGGATATTGAAGTACAAGCTATCAATTTTCGACCTGTTACTTTTACTACTCACGATCCGTAAGTCTGATATACGGCACTGGAGGCTCGATTCGAGATCCGTCGTCGACTCTGAAATAGTCAGAGAACTATGGCTCGAATCACTACAAGCGCATGTCCAGCCCACGATCGCCGCTCTGCTCAAGGACGCACAACTCGACCAGGCTGCCCTCATAACAGACAAAATTGTGGCGAAAACTTGCACGCGAGACAACTACATCTTTGCCTCAACGTAGATCTCGATGCTAGCCGCCCCCAGGCCCAAGGAGATCGGGTTGCTTTATTCACAGCCGTCTCAAACTGAGAGACCGTTTTCATATCCATCACGATCACACGGGTCTGCAAGTACTCAACCTAAGCGAACATCTTCCAAGCCACGCCAAAAAGCGGCTTCAGAAGCGAGTACCGGCTGCTCCTGGTCCTCCAGTACTTTTGAGTCCGGCGACCTCCGCTGTCGAGCCCCCTGCTCATACAAGGCAGTAAAACTCCCGTGCCCGCGAGGTAATGCGGCCGTACTCGCCGGCCCGTCACTTCAGGTTGGCTGCTTATTTTATGTGCACGATGGTCGCACTAACACTAGGCACCTAGCAGATACAAGCGCACAAGTTTCTGTAGTACCAACTGCAAGCAGTAAGTCTAAAGCTACAACGCTTCGACTGAGCGCTGCGAATGGCCCAGTTATTCACACCCACATGACAACTTGTAGACAATCTGAGCAACGACGACAGTATCTATGGAAGCTCATCACTGCTGATATTCCCACAGCCGCACACGGTATCGATTTCCTACAGCACTGTGAATTGCTAATCGATTCACTCAGGCTGCACTTAATCGATGTTTCATATAACAGTCAATTCATGGGCTTTCAAGCTCAGACGGATCCGCATCAGTCACGGCAAAGGCTCGCCAACTGGAAACGAGTAAATAAGCTTTTGCTAATCGTGAGTTTGACAATTTACTAGCCACTGGTATTATTCGTCCTTCTCGCATATTTTCAGCCTCATCACTCCTCATAGATCAAAAAAATGATAGCGTTAGTTTGAGACCATGCTGTGACTACCTAGAATTTCAAGTAGCTACGCGTTTCGATAGCCACCCCATCCAATACATACACGACATCACGGCATCATTCAAGAGCCTCTTGGAAAATAGAATAATAGTCAACCCCGGGAAAGGTGAGCTTGGCAAACTGAAAATGAAATCCTTACGTCACATTATTAAGCAAGATGATATCGTACCTTGTGAGAAAAACATACATGCAATCATGTAGTACACTGTACAGTCTTCACACAAGGAACCGAAGGATTTCCTCAGGTTGAAGAACATCTACCGACGTTTCATTTCTCACGCGGCAGAACACTTACGACCATTGTCTGACTTCCAATATCTCCAATATCCAGTATCTTTGTCACGGGCTAGTGTAAACCAATTTGATTTTTTCGCGATCGATTCTTGTTTTTTTGTTACGGTCTCAATTGTTCGGAATGTCCAATGGATGGAGGTCTAGCCACTTGACTGTCTAATTCTAGTCAGTTGGCAGTTGGTTGTGAGTTTATATGTCTCGGGATTTGAATGAAACGTTTGTTTCAGGGCAGTAGGGTTTCTGGATACTAGCAGCCGTCACATTACCAAACCGGAGATCAGTTAGTTGCAATGTGGAGAGTAATAAGGGTAATAAGGGTAAATTAAAATGATAATATGAGTAAAATTTCAGAACTGAGTAATATATAGATGAATTTAGTTTATTAATTGGTAGTGAAGATTGTGAGAGAGGACCGGAGTGTAAGCAAGGGAGAGGAATAGGCGAGATAGATTAATTAAGTGATCTGAGGAGATGGTAATGGTAACAACTAGCAGGTCTCAAGATATACATCAGGCACAGCTTGTCCAAGAGGGAGATGATAGTTCGCATGTCAGTACGTGATTATCAAGTCTCTGCTTAAAGCAGTCCACTGAGGGGGCTGTAACTACCTCGGCTGAGAGAGCATTCCAAGTTGCGACGACTCGCAATGCGAAAAAGTGTGCACGAATCTGAGTGTTTGCTCTTTGATGTGCAATCTTTTGAGGATTGCCTCGAGGGGAGTGGTGGTGATGCATCCGTAAGATGCTCACATTGGGATGGTTTGGCGTGTTTAATATGGTGTACGCCATAATCAGGTCACCTCTGATTCTCCTGTAGCTCAGTGGGAATAATCCCAAGAGCTGGAGTCTATCGTCGTACGGTTTATTTTTCAACCCTATCACCCATTTGGTGATAATTCAAGCAAATTAGAACTGAACGATGCCGCACGCACTGCATTTTTAAAGATCAAAAATACTTTGGCTCAACCCACACTCCTTGAATGCTCTGACCCTTCAGCCACGCTTGGTACAGCGGTCCATGCTTCAGATTTTGCTATAGGAGCCATTATGCAACATAATGACATTGAAAATTGACAACCTCTCGAATTTTTCTCACGACGCCTCACTAAAACGGAGAAGAGACGTAGAGCTTTTGGTCGCGAACTGCTAGCAGCCTACTGTGTCATCAAACATTTCCGGCATGCAGTAGAAGGTTGCGACTTCATCGTATTCACCAAGTGAATGGAGTTACTTTTCCGGTGCTCGATCTTCCTGCAATTTCTGCCACCTATGCAAGAGATCACTCTTATACGAGAGCACTACATTATACATCCCTTCAGTGCCAGGAAGTAACCGTAGCTACGACCTCAGGCACTGTCTATCGAGATAGCCCTACTTCTCTTCCCCGACCCATCGTGCCCTACGCTTATCGTCGTCTCGTTTTTGACGCCCTTCACAGACTGTTTCATCGTGATAACGCAGCCACATTACATCTCATCGCCTCACGATACGTCTGGCTGTCCATGAATAAAGATGTCCGTATGTAGGTGAATCTATGCTTAAAATGTCAACGATAAAATGTGCATACGCACTATCGCCTACCACCCAGCTTCAAATGGTCTAGTTGAACGGTTTCATCACCGACTCAAAAACGCTCTCCGAGCACACGAAAACAACTATAGGTACAAAACCTTACCGCTCGTCCTCTTAGGTATCAGAAAGAGCTAAAAAGCAGATATGCAAAGTTCCGCCACTGAAATTATATACGGTACGACATGGCGTCTGCCTGGGGAAGTATTCACACCACGAACCAATTATAACCTATATAAATCAGACTACGTCCCACGATTGTCTGAATCAATGAGTACCGTGATTCCGGTGTCAACTCGAGTACAGCATCGACAGGCTGCTCCCTCTCGAGAGTTATCTACCTGTTAACCTGTTCTCATGCCGGTTGGTTCAGTACGTAAATCTTTGAAACAGCCTTGCGAAAGGTCTTTTCACGTGATTTCTCTTCACAAAAACACCTTCAATGTTGATGGACACAGTCAGCATTGATCGTCTACTACCAGCACAATGACAGTGAATTACCCGATAAATTGAGATTCGTTCAACTCACTAGTGGGATCCATATATATCTATCTGATAGCAAGCTATAAAAATTATAGACTTCATTCTCACGTCCCAGTCAACAGAACGCTGCATCACCTACGGATGAGACTCCAATCTCACGTCAATACCAGCAGACCACGCTGCCCGTGACTTCGGATATAAACACAGGCTCGTGTGGTACGCACGAGACTGGCGCCTCGCGTTCAAGTCGCCGCCTACGCCTACCTGTACGCTATCGCAACTAACATCCTTATCAACAATGGAACTTATCCTCACACTAAATTTTTCCGATTTTTTTTTATCCTGAACCCACGCCTCCAACCATCGCCCTGTTGATACCGTCGACCTTGGCGAAAGCCCTCCTGATCACCCACGCTCTTGTCAATGCACTCAAGAGGTGATTTAGTGCCGAATATACCTGGCTTGCATATGGTTTCTTGGCTCGATGTGGTTTCGTCCAATGACTGAGGGGTTTTCTGACTCTGGACCGCTACGAGCGCAATCTTCAGATTGTGGTTACGAGCCAAACCGGTTTGACAGGACAACTCGAGAGGGAAACATGGCACATTACAGCTGGTACCCTTCATAAAGGACCTTCGGTACAAAGTCGAGCATCACGGACCGCTTCCTGTCCGTCAAAACTTCCGCCCTACAATAGTACGTTGGTTGATCAGTGCCTCGAACGAAACCGCTACGTATTGAATGGGTAAAGCTTTTCTAGTGGAGGACTCCTGTGGTAATCTACTTTTGCGGATAGAAACATGTATTATTATTGTACTAGTGATTGTTTTACTGAACGTTTTTCTTTTGTTATAACAAAAGCCTAGTCTTCTACTGCCTGTAAACTTTAGTTCGCAAAAGGACGCACGGTATTCTCACGTTGGAATGTCCTCAGAAACGAATAGTCATTCATCTCTCGATCAGTCTTCTTCCTTGCTACGATCCTAGGGAGGAGTTTGACCTGCTAATTGGTACGCAGTAGTGATCAAAGCCGATTACAACTGCGGTTCGTGCTATTGCAAATGCACGGTTTCTAAATTCGATGACACCGTCATCAAAGAATCTAGATCAATTATTCAGTTTTTTCACCATTAAGTGAAGATCAAAAACTTCACATTCGTTGATCCATTTTTCATATTGACGATGACCTGTTCGTTAATGTATGCAGCTTATATCACTCATAAACACAAACAGTTCCGAGACTTGTTGTAGGCTTTGCTCACGTTCATGAGAATCACCGTCAGCAGTTTAAATGTTCCAATAAAGCTTCTCAGTAATTTCGACCAATGTTGAGTCGGAAAATTTCGCAAACCTGTTAGTGCTTCGTGTTTGTCTCTCTATATACCAGGACAAACTTCTCGCGCTACTTTCACAAGTCGTAATGAATCGCTTTCCACATAAGATTTATTCTCTAATTACCAACACTCTGTACTAGTGCTTTTTCAGATATCTACGGTAAAAAACGTGGTATTAACGGGTGTAACGGGACTAAGTGTGCTTTTCCACATCGTGACTTTGCAGAATTTAACCTAACAAGCCTCACTATCATCAGATCTACAATTAAGCGCATGGACATTGACTCAGTTTATAACGACCACAGCCCACTCTCCGCATCTACTTCAATGACTACCAAATTAGGCTTATGCTCAAAATTTTGGAGTGATGTAGCACTTCGTACTAAAAAAGTTATAAGCGAAACTAGAATGATTAGCTTTAAGTCGTTCAGTAGCACTTTCAATTCATGAAATATATTCCCCTGACTATAAGCACCAAGGGGGGAAAACCAATCCATAAAAGATTTTACGAATCTTGACTGACCCCCATTTTAATCGGTGGTAGAGCAGAACACAGTTGCTTATTCTCTGACATGTTAAGTACGTTGGTTAGCAACCAAGTAGGTATAAATTTACTGCTAGCACTAAAATAACCAATCTGAATTCCGATGCACATATTTTCAGTACAAAGCAATCCGTCTCCAAGTATTAATACATTGGAGCCTAACGTATTTTGACTTCTTATTTTATATAATCTTATGTCAGATCAGCATTATTCGCGGAACTCATAAAGCCTTTGAACCTGTTAACTTGACAAACGTTAGTAAAGTACAGTACAAGTATACACGCGGTTACATTTCCTGAAGCGTGAAATAAAATCCGATCGGAATCATCACTGAGAATCGGAAATGTCAGTGATTGATATAAATAGGAGTCGAAGAGGCTGTACTGAAAACAGCTAGTAACTGTGAATCCTAAATCAATAGCGGGTAGTCTAAATAGGTCAATCAGAGTAGGAGGTAAATTGAAGTCGCCGTAGTGAGGCCACACACATGTGATATTTTACGATTTTGTCAGACCACTCCTGTCGTTCAGTATGCAGACTGTAAATTGATGTAAGACTAGACACGTAACCCGGCCAAAACTTGCATATAGAAGTTAGTAGGTTATTAATATGGGATCTGACTGTAAAACATTTTACCCTTAGAATGGTTGTTTTGTAACTAATAATAAAGTTTAACATTTAAAAGCATCAACACCCAGTTCCTGAACACATGCTACAATTGGAACTGACTAGGCCCTTATTAGGAGGTTTGATTAGGTATACATCCAGACTTAACGGTCATATATAATATCACAAATCTTTTTTCGTGTATCATTGGTATTTTGAAATCAGTGAGTACATTAATTATCTAGATTTTATGAATTTACAGACCTGCCCAAGTGTGTTGACTATGCAGTAAAAACAAATATCACAATCAGTATGAATAAGCCAGAGTAATGTCTAGAGATTGAATGAACTCAATATTTTTGTTCAACAAGCAGTACAAAAATACGAAGCTGTATTCCAGCAAAAGATGGTCATGATGATACGGTAGTTGTGTACACAAGTTTTTTACCGAGAGGAATATCATCACTACCACACTTTAGAGTTACGGTAGATGATGTATCGACCACAAATCGAGCTGTTGGTTGAATAACTTGTAAAGCCTCCAAGGGGTACGGAGGAATGCGCAAATGTCCACATGTAGCATCCGTAAAACGGTACAATTTTATATTCTTGAAATCTTTCAAAGAAAAACAAACGGAAAAAAAATAAATTAGAAATACAGGATACACTGGATCATATATGAAAGTTTATATTCAAAACAACTCACTTCGTCTGTTCAATCTAACGAATCGCTATAAATTACAGAAATTGATGTGAACTCCACTTAACAGTTATGTAAATTAGATAATGTATTACATTTTTTATTGTCATAAGTTCAATCAGTTAAAAATCAAATAATAAACATAGCTTAACAACAATCTCAGTAGCGAGACTAAAGCAAAAAGACAACTGATCCAAGGAACTAAATAACGCCTGGCCTAACATATAAGATTTGAATAACTGTTTTATATCAGTCAGTCAGGAGACCAGGAACGACGTTTCGCAAACTCGCATCGTTTGCATTAGCTGTGCTCTGTAATAAATGAATGTGAGAAGAGTTAGTTGTGGAGGTAAGAGAGGTATTAGGGAATGTAGGAAGGATTTGATTTTGAACAATTTTGTCTCGTGTGCTGTTGCGGGTATGAGGGCGGTTATCACTTCCCGGCTGCCCACACCATGGAAGGTTGTTTCTTGACGAACCTGAAAAGGAAGATGGATTAGTGTTGGTGCGTGACCGCAGAGTCCAAGGGACAACTGCTTGAGGCCGGTCACGCACGGCCTTTTTATGAGAGGTATTTAGAGGATTAGCTCCGTTCTTAAAGGCCCTTAGTGGGCACCCTTACCCAAGGAGACGGAAATCCGTGAGGTAGGGGAGGTGTGACATTTTTAGGGCCGACCTTTTCTAACCCTTCCTTCCTTGTGAGAAGGCAGCATCGCTGCAGATGCTGGTTGTCCGAGGGAAACACCTTACTGCTGTCACACCCCTCTGCAGTCAGCAGTACGACTTCGCCCTCAGACCTTGGGTAGCTGCTTTTAGTCTCATCGTTCTCCAATCGACCTGCCTGGCATGGTAGGACCTACAGGAACATGTGTTCCAGCCAGTATAGCTCGGTTGGGTCATCACGATAGGCAAGCCCGACCACCACGTCAAGGTAGCAGCTTCGGTCGGGAACTGTTTTATATATTTTAAGTGCAAAGTGATTCACTTTCACGATAAGTTAAATGGTTGCAATCAGGAACTTATGACGTGCGTATATCAGTTCAAATCACCACATCACATTAGCACACGGAGATAGAATTGTCAATCCCCATCCCACAGTGGTAGAGGTAGTAGAATTATTAGTGGTAGTGGAGATCAGAGTTTGAGGACCAATTTAAAAAGAGAAAAAAACCATGCATGATTCGAAAAATTAGGATTTGAGAGAAGACAAAGGATGGATGCATCTGCGCGACTGAAGACGATTTGTAGCCATATCATTCAAAATGTGTAGTCAGCGATTGGTGGGGACCGGTAAGATTAGGGAACGAAGAAATGATTTGAGAAAAAATCCAGTAAATTAGTTTTAAGAAAGGGAAAAGGTCAGGAGGAATTTAGAAAAGAAAAGGAAAGATGGATGCACCTGCGCCATTACAAACGATTTTAAGCCATGTCATTCAGGGTCTATAACCATCGATTATTTTCATCTCACGGGCCCCCACCAGGTAGTCGACACCTACCGACATGACTCAATCCACTTGTCAGTGACTTCATTAATTTGTGCCATGTCTTGGTCTGACCGTCCTAGCTTTCTCCCAACCTACTCCTACATCACAAAACACTCGTCGAGGCAGTCGTGGTTAGGCATGTCCAACCGACAATACAGATGAAGATTCAACACTTCATCAACTGATTTACCATCCCTATCTAGTACCTGTGTCTTAACAACAGCATTGCTTACTCGGTTGACCCAAGATACACGAGCAATGCTTCGAAGATATCTAGAATCGAATACTAATAGCCTACGAATATCTTCTACTCTTACTGGACATTTTTCGTACCCGTAAAGTAGAACGGAGCGAACTACTGAACAGTACACTCGTATTTCAGTTAACAAACAGATATCTCGCCTACGCTATAAATGACGTAATTTAGCAAAAGCCAATCGAGCCTTCTGTATCAGTATCGAAATCTCGTCACACACCAGACCATTAGCACTGATTTGTTAAGTTCGTCACTAGGTACGCTTGAAGCTACTACGAGTTCTCCTTAGTCGAAAAACGGGAACGAGACAATTATCAGCGTCCAGGTAGGCTACCTAGATCCCGAACTGCAAAAGAGAAGTCTTGACAAGCGTAGAAAGTCTATTCCACAATACGCAGCAAGCACACAACTCTCGTTTATTTATACATCATAGAAACGTCCTTGAGACAGTCACAAAGATAGAACACTAAAATACACAGCAGCCAATCACAGCCAAGAATTTTCCTGGTGAGAAATGAAATCCTAAGGTTAACTGATCAGGCCATGCTTGCAAACGTGAAATCCAAGATAGGGCATTTATCAAGCGAGTTCTACGGGATCTAACATCCCCAACAAATTAGACTCCTGAGATATATAAGGCGGTTGACACGCCCGACTACTTTATTCCCTATCACTAGTTCAGGTGCCGATACAAGTCAGTCTTGAAGAAACATTTCGCATTTCGACGGGGAGATCCACAACCAGGACATGTTTGCATTGTTGCTCACGGTGGTCAGAAGACTCAATGCTAGGAAATGCTGACTGATAGTAGTCTAAGTTTAAAGATATCTTTATTACCAGATTTAAATGACGAGAAAAACAGGTCCTGGTTGTAAAATTGATACACAACCAAAGGCCTAATGAAGTTTCAATCACTTTTTCTATGAAAGTACTTGTTAGGAAGGAGTGAAGATAAAAATATGGGAGTTTAGTACTATTCATGGGTGGATTAGTCTGCGTATCTTTGATGCATTTATTGTTTAGATTAAAATAATATCATTACTATGTACTCTGATCATTAGACTCGAGAATTTTCTGAACCTTTCACTATTTATGAATTACAGTCACTTAAATATCAGTGCGTTACACAGCTTATATGGTGAAAATGACCCAGTTATGTACATGCTATGGTTTGCTATCTGTACTACATCGTGATTTGGTACTGGGAATAAATAATAACGTAAACAGTACAAAAAATGCGGTTTATCTGGTGTTTTTACTGATGAGTTGAGAAATCGAACTTTTTACGAGGGCTATCGATCGTGAAGAATACAATATCTCAGTTTTTTAACTCAGGTATTTCACTATGGCTTTGACTGTGTACTTCCTCATGCAACTATTACACAACATAAACTACGGAGTGTATTTCACACAAGGTGGTTATGAAATTATGACTGCATCAAATTAGGAAAAGTTAACGATTTTGATAATTGACAGAATAAATTCTAAATACAGTTTACCTTTATTGTTTAACGTAAGACAATGACAGTGACTAACTATACGTGAGATTACATCAGGATACGTATCACCGTCAAAAATGGTAATTGTAATTGTAAATAGGCCTGAACCAACATCTGGGTTTAGAAACATCATGGATGTTGAAGTAGACGGTTCACAAAATAGAATAAGGGGCTCCAAAGGACAAACATTTTCTTCAATACGACTATCGTTAGAATCGCATGAGTAGTTGATCTAAAATGAAAATAAGTGGTAAGCATGTAAATTAAATTCCAAAAAGCGATTGGCGAAATATTTGATGAAAAATTCAGTTCACATGAATGAAAACCCACAATAATTCAAAGATTAAACTAAACTCCTACATATATTTGACGTTCATATTTTTGTCGGAGTTATTAAAAAATTAGAAAGTGAGTAGTAAATCAGTCTCTGATAACAGAGAAGTAAATTTAACTACAGAGATATAGACAAAGTTTAATCTCGTGACACGACAAGTTGAAATTAGAAACCATTAACGTAACAAGCAAATAAATTATGTCTAGAGATATGAGATACTTTTTAGCTTTTGAAGAGACGGAACAGATGATACAGAAATATAACTATCTATAAAGTAGTAGTTACGGCTGTATGTTTACGTCAGTCAGTCATTTACAAGGTAGAACTTCGTGCGTACGTACATCAGTTCAGACGCAACTGTCAGTTCAGTTGCGTCAATGTTTTTGAAAGTGAAACACAATGATTCGTTAAAACACCTGCTATACGGTGACAACTGTTATGAATCACAATTTTAAACTGTTGACAGTTTATTCAAACCTAAAGATAGCTAAAAGAGCCATATTAGTGTCGATTCTGTAGATTAACAGGAATTACGAGTGACAAAGGAAGTGTTCTTCATAAAAAGAGGATTCAGTTACCTTTTCTTATTTTTGAGGTATTGTGACTCATACGCCGACGTAATCAATGTGATTAGTATGTTCAAGTTAATCTAGTAATAATTATCCACTCTTAGGTTTTAGGGTCTCTATGAGTCTTAGACCCAGAGTCAATAGTTATATCAAATGAGTAATTATCAGTAGTTAGTAACCCAACTGCTCGATAATCTAGTCTCCTATACATGTACTCTTCTACCAATATCATAAATGGCCTCCAAATGCTTTAAAACGTCAGACAGTAGAGAGAACATACTCTCCCTGTCGAAATGCTCTCATATGGTTACGCGTATATAGCCACTAACTTCTCGTGACGGTTTTGTTTACGAAATTGAGAGGATAAAAGGAGAACGTCTAGTGCTAGGTTGGTAGGTACAAAGGATCTACTTAGGGGAAAACCCTGATTCCAGATCAATGGTGAACATGGCCTCAATGATCCTGGAGGAAAATAATGGCGTATGAACCTATTCTTGGTCACTGGTTACCATAGGACTGCATCTCCTAACGTTCCTTCACCGCCCTGCGGATTAGACCACTTGATAAATTTTTTGGGGAAGGACCACCTAAGGGAACCACTTGCTTCGGTCTGGGCACTCAGGAAGTTCCCCAGCACATACACAAGTTTAGTGATTTGTATGGTGCATATATATATTCGTGTGCCTTTGCATATATGTTTAAAAAAATAAAATGCTGGAACATGAATAAAGAACTATAACTGACTAGGTCACTAAAAACGCGCGACCGATTGTCAGGAAAAAAAACAATAAACAAAGACAGGTTAAGGTAAAATCAGCTTAATGTATTCCAAAACTGTTTAGGAAAGCATGACAAAATAATTAGCACAGGTTGATGTTTGATTATAAAACACACTAGGATGAACTTACTTTTAAACCATCAGGTTGCCTTAAACCTAAAGTCGATATTAAATAGGATAAATTCCTTTTAATTACTTCACATTCATCCACTTCTAATTGAAGTTGAAGCACTCGTTTACCGTGAATTTCAAAACGTTCTCGGACTAATTGTACAAACGGCATAGCTCGTTTTGCCATTTTACCCATATCCTTCAGATGAGGACGTAAAAGTTGAGCTAATGTTGCATTATCCACTAACGTTTTGCCATCGTTAGAAAGATTAGCTGCCATAATTTCAAGAATTTTCGCCTGAAGAAATTTATAACAAATAGTAAAGGCAAAATAGGAAAAAAAAGAAATTTCATATTTTTCTCAAATTTCAACTACATATTGAAGGAGGAAAATGTACTACGGAGAGATTTAGTCATTTCAAACAAGGAAAAAGCAGGTGTACGAATGTTAGAGCCAGAAAATTATCAGATAATTCAACCTAATAACTGGAAACATAACGGAATAGAATTCGGAAATACCTGCCATGATGGATAAGCTTTAGCGACCCACACAACAGCATCCGAAGGTGGGATAAATTGGGTAACAGAATTGGATCCAGTAGATTTACTATTCTTGAAAGACTTTGATGATTGATATTGCTTGAGCTGTAATCTGAATGCATGAGCTGTATCATCTATGTAACGACCTAAATTATTAGAAAATTAAATAAGAATGAACAAACAAATATTTACTAAACAATTAGTTATTCTTGATAAATAGTAATTTCACACACTACTAAATTATGGTGTACATGTGACAAGATAAGTAACCATTTATCATCGGATCACATTTATTTGAGCAGGATCGAGGACTACACAACATGAAATTAGTTATTACTAAGAAAATCTCAACCCTACATGAGGTGGGTCTGTGGTGGCGATTCTGACTACACAACTGAGTCATACAGATCCCAGTCTCAAAGAAGAATGTCCCCTCAGGGTGCCATAAAGCAAGAAACCCTCGTTCAGACTATCCTGTCTAATTCTTTTAACATTATGTGAAGGTGAAGTATACACCCCGACTTCAGACACATAAAATAAGTTGTCCCTACGTCGACTCTTAATTAATGACTACACACTTTATTCTTCAAGTACTAAACACAGTTCCAAAGCAAGATTAGGGTACGAAATAAAAATATCACATTACAACTTTACCTTGTAACAGAAGTATTCGATCCACTGGACGACTAAGTTCAGGCCATTTTTCACAAAAGATTGACGTTTTGTTGTTTAACAGATTAAGCCATATATGCTCACAAACATGTGAACAAATTGGACTAAGTAGTAACAATTGAATATTCATATAACGTCGAATTAAGTCAGTATGTACACTACCTTGACAAACTTCACGATAACGGTCACGGTGTGCCTACGTTTAGAGAAAACAGAAGAAAGAAATAAGGACGAACGATAGTAATATGATGGTTGTAAAAAAGTTAGATTAACTGATTTATGTCCTGACAAGAAAAACGCGCTTAAGGTTTGGAGCGCTACCACTTAAATTATGATCAAAAGAATATTTTTCGTTTAAGTTAGGAAGCAGAAAGATGAGAGCTTCTATCTTTAGCTCCCAAACTGCTAGTGGACGCAATCTGATATATGAAAGACGTAATTACGCCTGCTACTACTCGTGTAGCACAGGTTGCCGAGTAGGATTTTTGAACCTATCCAGCAATGGCCTCTCTTTTCCAGTTATTCCCAGATGCCATTTATTTTCTGCATGTCTGCGTCTGATTCTCGAACCAATACGTCATTCCAGCTGCCTGTTTTCCTTAAGCTTTGAGAATTCCAGATTAAGGCTTACCTCATAATGCAGTTTGATTTTTGAAACCTGTCTAACTCATGTTCAGTGCTTCCTCTTAATTTCCTATTGAAATGAAGGTCGGTTAGTTCGCTAACACAGTGGGTTATTGTTGATGATGCTTGGCCAGCGGCTTCACAGTATCATAAGTATAAAATTGTTAACAAACACTTGAATTTTTAGGATGATGGCTCTAGTAGTTCTCCAACACTACCCTCCATACAATAGCAATGTCTTGACGTCCGTATAATAAATTTTGACCTCGGTGTTGGTTGACAGCTGTTTTAAATTCCATATTTTCTTCAACTGTAGAAATACTAACCTTGCTTTACCAACCCCGTGTCTTTATATCAGTATCAGATCCACCTCGTTTATCAATGATGCTAGCCAGGTGTGTAAAAGTTTCTACAACTTGCACAGCTTCTTCGTCAAGTGTGATTTGGTTGATCGTCTTTGAGTTGTATCTAAGGGTCTCGTTCTTTCCCTTGTTTATTATGATCTATTGATGTAAAGACTGCTGCTACATTAGCCGTCTCCATCTGCATTTGTTGCGTGTGGGATAGAAGCGCTAGATCATCTGTGAAGTCCAAATCATCCAGCTGTCCATTGTATTCCGTACTTCCCCTCAGATGTTTAGATCTTCATAACCCAGTCAACCACCAAGAGAAAGGGAAAGGTTGAGAGTAAGCAACTTTGTCTGACACTGGTCTTCATTTACAAAGAGTCTGTGAGCTGTCCTCCAAGCACGATTTTGCGGTTTAATCCACCATAAGAATTACATATGTTGATGGCAATCTTCTCAGGTACGCCATGGTGCCAAGGAAGCCTCCATAATGTCATCCTATCCACGCTGTCAAATCCTCTCCCCTTGTCAAGGAATTTGATGTAAAGTGATGAGTTCCATTCAACTGACTGTCCAATGACCCATAGTGTCGTGATTTGGTTGGCACACGACCGATCCTTGCGAAATACAGCCTATCGATCTTCAAGTCGAACGTATACTGAATCCTTCATTCTGTTCAGCAACATTGCTGAAAACTTTCCCCGGTATTGGGAGTAGTGATTCTTGTGTAGTCCTGGCACTCGCTAAGGTCTTTCATTGGAATCTTGATGAAGTGTCCTACTTCCCATTATGTTGGCACTTGTTCTTCCTCCCAAGTCTTGCTGAAGAGAGCGTGGAGCATCTTTGTAGTTACTGTTATGTCTGCTTTCAATGTCACAGCTGGTATGTTGTCTGGTCCTTTGCTTTGCCGCTCTTGATTCGTTTGATGGCCATGCTGATGCCTTTAGTTGTTGATGGATCAACATTAATTGGGATGATCATAGGTGCTGCTTCAATGCTGGGTGGGTTCACAGGGACTGGGTCTATTCAAAAGCTATTCAAAGTACTTTACTCACTTGTTACGCTGTTCTCGAATCTAAATGATCAATAAATCTTCCTTATTCTTGGCTAATTGACCTGGCTTACTATATATTATAGCGAGTTTCTTCATCATATTGTATAGTTGCCTTATGTTTTTTTCTCTTGCAACTTCTTCTGTATATTCACGTTTACTAGCTTTAAGGCTACTATGCACTTGCTTGCTTGCTTCCGTGTATTTGGCCTATCTTGAGTTTTTTATGTTCTTTGTCGACTGTTATTGATTGCTATATTCCTGTGCTTCCTTGCTTGAATATTATTCGGAATATCAAAAGATCTATTCCTTATGATGGTGATTCGTGTTGCTCAGAATACCATGAGGTGTTGAAATTTATGTTTTTTCAATCTCTTTTCAGATGTTCTCCATCATAGTTTCCTATTCACCGAGTAGATCGTATGAGGCTTGGAACTTATTGCTATTGTTGAGTCTGCCAGTATCCAGAAGAAAGGCCACAATAAACTTTCGTAATTCTGTATTCTCAGTTGCTCAGTGCTTCTTTAGCTTCAGTTTCATTTTGGCCACCATCAGGTAGTGATTCGAAGTTACGTCAGCTCCTCTCTTTGTTCTCACGCTCTCTATTGTCCGTCTGAGCTTATTGTCAGTGCAGAGATGGTCGATTTGGTTCTCTGCAGTGTGGTCTGTTGAAACCCATGTAACTTTTTGTATGAGTTTGTGTGGGAATATGGTACCACCTATAATAATTTTATTGAAGGCAAACAGATTTGTAAATCTCACATAGTCTTTGTTTCTTTCTCCCAGTCCATGTCGTTTCACGATGTCTTCGTATCCAGTGTTGTCCATTCCAAATATGGAGTGTGCATCTCTCATCAAAATGGTCAAATCAATCTGCTAAACATTTCTCTACGATTGACTGTAGACTTATAGAATTGACCTTTATCGTCATCTTAGTTGTCGTTGGTGAGCGCATAGCACTGGATTATATATATCGCAATCCCATCTTTCTTCGTACTGAAAGATACCTTAATGATGATGAGCCCATGAGATCCTATAACTGTTTTTTTCCTCCTTCCACAATAACAGTACAACTCCTTATATGTGAGGAAATATTTTCTTCATGACCGGAGTACAACAACAGCTCTCCTGAAGCTAACCTTTATTTTCAGCTTGTGTCTAGTGAATTTCACTTATTCTGAGTACACACAAATTGTATCTTTTCATCTCTTCAGCAAGTTGAATTGCGTTCTCGGTCTCCCATAATGTGCGACCATTTTGTGCGCATATGTTGCTCTAGTTATCAGAAGGGTCATCGGCCTCGTGACTTCTGAAAAGACTTAGCTTTTATCATGAGGCGTTATAACTCCTTCAAATAAAGAACTTCCAACTACGACGGGTAAGTTTGAATGGCTCAAAAGAATTTTTCTGGTTGGCACTTTTTTAGCAGGGTTGACTTCTACGGGTTAAGGTCGCTAACTCCATGCACAACCTTATTCCTTTATTCGGACTTGAGACTGACAATAACTCTAGGGGGGCTTTGTTTTCAGTTTAAACAGCTAATTAAAATAGGTTTACATACTATCTTATACACTTAAGATTTTTGTTTAGTTGGTCGATAAGCAACATAAGATTTATTAGCCAAGTTTGTTGAAAGCTATGAAAACTTAATTCGGTAGACATTCGCAGTATTTGAACTGCTCATATATAGTTAAGAAAGTATTTAGGCAGTTAAACCTCTAACCTGAAGGTCAGCAGAGTAGATTCTGAAACCAGACTGAAGTGTGTTTACATAACTGCCTATTTAAAACATACGGGATCTGCAACAGCTACCACAGAAACGACCTACCACATGTGGATACCATGTTAACACTAATTTAATGAAAATTTATACTACGATATTTAAAAGTAAAAGTATTTTTAGTTACCTGAAGTTCATAGAACACAATTTTAAGTACTTCTCTATATTCTTGTGCAGCATATGCTTTATCGGCTAGTTCAATAGTATGATTCATTTCACTATGAATAAAAATTTTTTAATCATTTTATTAAGGAGCAAATAAGGAATAAATTAAACGATGATTTTACTGCTCACTTCAAACATTATAGTAAACATAAACGATGGGTGTCAACTTACAATACTCATGTATGCTTAAGAGATAATTTATCATGAGTAACAAGAAACCAATGTTATTTAATCAATCTCTTTACAATGAACAAAAATGTAATACTAACCGCTGAGTTATTAAGAAATGAAGACCTAATTAACTGGAATTCAATATGCGAAAACTACCAAGAGAAGTTGCAAGAAATCATGGGACTTTTAATCAAAAATTCAAAGGAGATTTATGGCCCAATCAGAACTAAACAAAGCTTACTTATCAAAAACAAAATCGGCATGCATTGTATAGGCACCTGTTCGATAATGAGATTTTTGTTGTAAAGTTGGATCATTTAAAATCTCCAAAGTTACATTGAACCAATCTAAAAGACCATACAAACGTAGCAGACCAGCTTCAGCCATTTCTTCTTTCATATTGGCATCATCTAACGAATCACCAGCATCAGCAAGGGCAAGGCGAACACCTTGATATGAACAAAAAAACTTAAAATAGATTAAGAATAAAAATGACTTCTATAAAAATAAGTGAGTTTCGATCGACGTTTCTGTGTGTATATAATTCTTTATATTATGAGAAACATGAAAGTGTATGAGCATTGAACTGCTCATTAATTTTAATGTATTCATTAAACAAAGAAATTAACGATAACACCCCAAATACCGAAGCAAATTATTGAACATAGTACTTAGCAACAAAACTACAGTAGAAATGTTGATACATAGTTGAAAAGAGAAACTATGTTTTTTCAAAATCTTTTGTTGATTATTTAATCAAACGAAGACGATTATCAAGTAGTATCATTAGAATCCATAAAATTATAAATATTGTGTAGTACATTTTCTCTAAAGAATAAAAGCCACAAATATAATAAGTGACCAGTGACCGGCCAAGAAGTTTACAGTAACATATTACTTTTAGGTCAACTGGACAAAGTGCCCAACAGAAACACAAGATAGTACAGCCTGTAAAGAAAACCAACCCAAAATGAAATCATGGGGACCGATTCGCTCAATACTTATGGAGGAATCTAAATCATTACTTTTGCCTCAGGTAGGAGCTGATAACATTGTTCAAAACGACAAAAAAAATTTCTCAATTACGCCATACAGCTCAAAGAATTCAACATTAACGAGACTCGGTAAGTATTTGGTAAAATAAACTATCTCTAAAATCACAAAAAGTACGATTAAAAAACAAAGTCTTCTAACGGAATCAGCTTTTAATTTAATTTGAGGAAATAGTAAATATCTAACATCAAAAAAACAATCTAGATGACTTACCATCAGCTGAGTACTTTTCTACAGCATCCGCTAAAGTGAGAAAATTACCAGTTGATTTTGACATCTGTATCAAATAAAAGTAAATTCAGAGCACAATATCAATGTGAATAAATTTTATGGATACAAATCTGTAGCCACAAACACCCATTGGGACAACAGAATTAAGTAATCTTGCAACACCCACAATGTATGTCCCTAGTTATAGTATTAGACTGATTATTCACGTAAAATAAGATGGAAAATAAGTATGACTGAAATATTTTTTCATTATAGGGTTGTGATTGAAATCATGAATCGATTAAACTTAGATCACTATTAGAAACCTGGAAGGTTTGGTCGGCCGTTTAGTCCAAGTATGGGATTAATCATTTTGTGGATGTGCACTGCTGATGAACTAATATTATCAATGGAAAAACATGCATCAAATTCAGCATAAGGTAATTTTCCAGTTATTGTACAGTGGTATGTAGACAGACTGAATTCGGAATACACATGTTACTTTGAATGAGTAAGTTAACCTTAACTACTAAGTAACAGACTATAAAGCTACAGACAAAGAAGCAATAAGATTTGTACACAATGGATGAGTGATAAAATTTATTTATTCTAACATCTCATACTACTTTACTGATACTCTTTTTGTTGCTCAATTTGGTTGATTTAATGTTATTATTAATTAAGCAAATATTAGATGATTGTTAAACCTTGAACAAATGACAGCATTAATACGTTTAGTAACCGTAAAAACTACGAAGTATACAAAAATAAAAGGTTAGTTACCTTATTAGAGTTCAATAACAAATGACCGTTGGCACGTATATTTCGAGGCCATAAATTTGGTTCATTTGGCCATATAGCAGTATGGTTGTATAGATAATAAGTTAAATGATTTGAAATAAGATCCTTTCCACTAACTCTTAGATCAACTGGATACCAGAAAAGAAATTCTCTACGAAGCCTCTTCAAAATTGGCACACTTAGAGAGGAATGTCTTTTCATATTGACTAAATCATCTGGATTCCCTATTCCTAAAAATATGTAATCCCATACTTCTGGTGTCATATGTTCTGGCCTTGATAAAAAGATATGAAATCATAGTTAAAAGGATGTAAAATAAACATGTACACATATAGATCAATAAAAATTTGGGTTAATGAAGATGAAACATGAAGTTCTGTCAAAAATCTGAAGTGACTTATTTGTCCAACCATGTTCATCATAATTTTTATAATGCGGTTAATCATTGTTTGAAGCAATCGAATTTGACTATTGAGTGCATCAGGTTTGTAAGTCGTTTCATCTACTTCAATTTTGGCAACCGGCTAAGTAGCCATTATACAACATAACTCAAAGTTCAACAGATGAATTCATGAATGATGAGTTAAATTTAGTTTCATTAATTTTATCATATAACACTGACGTTACATAAAAATGCATCAATGAATCATTTAATTCAGTTGATTATTTATGTTCAAACTATAACCATCAGAAAATTGTAAATTAAGGTAAAACATTAAAAAAAAAAACTGCTCTTTTATGTAGAGAGTAATCAAATTTGTACTGTTTGATTAACAGATGAATTGGTCTTAAAAGTTTTTTATGTGGTTGCTTGCTTGGTCAGTAGGATTTACAACTTAAATGAATGGAAATTTCGAATACTTGTGAATATGCCCTTAAAGTAACAGCAACAAATAATTAATTCACTTTCACTCTCCTTTTTACAATTCTTAATCTTTATTCGACAAATAAATACACAATAATCATTTTGGAGAAAACGAATTTAATGGGCTGACTTTACATAATAAACTACTCAATGTCATTTCATTTGGTCATTTTTACATATTACAAGTTTGAAGATAAATTTGAACATAACTTGCAAAGTTGTCTGAATTAAACAGTATATGAAATCGCCTACAGTTTTACTGATCATTACTTTACTCAAAATATTAATAAACGCAACAGCTATGCTAGGGTACGATAATTACATAGGACTGCGGATTCTTTAATCTGAAGCCACATTTCCGAAGTTAAATTATTTTAACTGAGTATTCCACTTACAAAATGGAATTACTGAACAGTTGATCTGTATAACCTCATCCAAAAATTTTGTATTACTGTTCCATGATTGCCGATCTCAACAAAAATACTTGCTATGGTCGAAGTCTTTTGAAATTATCAAGAACAGAAGAACTAGATAGGTTAAATGATTAGGTAACCGGAAATCGAGGTATACTTGTTAATCTAACCAGCAAAAACTTTAAAAAAACAGGGATGCCAACAAAACACTACCTAAATTATCGTTAAAATTATGTCTGACTAGATGCGACAATAAAAAGAACCAGTAAATATTTAACTGACCAGATTTTGAGAGGACCGGGCATTTTACCATCTAATGACCCGCCTTGCAACAAATGAGCTATTGTATAATATGCCATGTATATTGTAGAGTCAGATAAAGATTCAATAAGCCACTTATCATCCCATGGTAAACGAGTACCCAAACCATACGTACGAGAGCAAGCGTGTTCATGTAACCAATCAACAGTTGAATAAAGAGCTCGTCTAACCTAAACAAAAGAAGTAATAAAACTGTTTGCCATCATTAACAACGAATCAGAATAAATTCAATAAAAAATCGATCTGACAATTGTAGAATGTAACATGGTTACATATTTGTAATAAAACAATTAGGCTGTGCGTAAATATAGTTACAATTACGCCGGAAAAAAACACAGAAGTATCTGTTGGTCAGTGTGGATTGTATTGTATAAAACAAATAGTAACTTGGTTTTTCTTACAAGAACCATTCTTGAATGATAAAAGTCTCAAAGTACGGAAAGAAATCTTAAATTCATTTTGACATGATCTCCCGTAGACAAAATAAACATTGAATAAAACACGTGCAATTTAATCATTTAATATTGACTGATCTATTGCTTACTTCCTATTTATTATTTTGGTACATACAAATGAACTAATAGCAATATTAATTATTATCAATACAGGGTTATGGAGGTTAATTTCTATTGAAGTCATGGACCTAATACTGTTAGACCACCACTGGAAACCAGGAAGCACTCAACGGCCATTTCGTTCTAGTATTGGACTCCTCAGTCGTTTGCATCGATAACACGCCTGAATCGAACTCAGGACCTACGGTCTAGTGTGGGATGGATTGATGATTTCAATGAATATTAATTAACGGCCAGTCAGAAATTTTAGAAATCTGGAACTTCATACATATTAATAATGAAAAATATAAAGTGTGTAGTATCAGATAGTGACATAAATAAATTCAATCGCTACATAAAGAGAGCAATATCATATGAACGTCTTAGTAAATGTGATGTATTGTGAACTACCAGAAATAATTTTGGGCTTTGGAATAAAAGTTAGGGACATTTTTAGATATAACTCAGTTTTTTATTAGATTTAATGCACACAGGTACTGATACAACTGGATACTAAACATAAACTAATAAAAAAATGAAATTGTCAGATAATAGAGGAAAAGGAGGAGCATATTCATAAATAAATAAAAGAGGGTGAGTGGTAGTTTACTATGGGGGAGATAGTTCAGTTTACAAAACGCAGAGGAAGAATTCTTTCAGTTAAGAAACTCCTTCTTATTTTCTAAGGAGAGTGTAAAAGAAACCTACGGCACAAATACTGCCGACTTTTATACTGAGTCATGTTTGATGTCTCAAACCATTGAGCTGCGCCGTCTACAGGACTTAAATCAAGTAGCCGTGACCAATGGCATTATTTGAGGGCTAACACTTTACTACATCGAGTTAGTTGATAATTGAGAATGTGATCCACTACCAACAAAGTTGGGGGTTCATTTAGTCATATTAAACGACAAAAATACAATAGACTGACGGTCTCGAGTTAACTAATCAGAATCAAGATAACATGTGAAATTTACAGTTCAGTGATAGATAACGTGTATGTTATCATCAATCAAGTAAAAATTGACAATATTAGGTCCCTAAAATGTTTGAAATCGACAACGATTTCTAATAAAGACCAAAAAGTGTATTTAAGATGATGCTTAAGCTAAACTGCAAGAAATGCTTGTTCCCAAGAAAAATCGTGTGTTGAAGTGTTTGGTGAGATTTATTGAACAATGAAGCGGAATAGTATTCTCCCGCCCTGACTTTTAATCTCGACACCCAGTTTCTTAATTTTTTAAACAGGTGACGAAGCATTGCACCATAGCTGATGGCATTTTGTGATGGAAACACTAACTCTAGCATGTAAACTTAACTTAGAAATATACCTTAACTCTTAGTATTCAATCCTAACCTTTTGAAATTATAGCTAGAGTCAGATGGTGACGAGAACTGTGGAGTGATTACCATGACTCTAAAAATAGCCCGACACCTAATATATAAACTTAATGTTTTTCTTTTACTAAAAGAAGTTATTCGACAAATAATATTAATTATTCAGATTACAGTTATTATCCCAATGTTATCTTATTGCTTTAACGCAGATAACTGTTTTACAAATGCTAAACAAAATAAGTTTGAAAAACATGCAAAAAAAACTATTTATTTCACCTAAAACATATTATTTATTTGCACGATGATTTTACGAAGAATATGATGGCATGAAATATACAACGATTGACATGTAAGGATTATTAACTCTGAAGAGTTTGATATTTGATATCATCAAAGTGACTTTTATTTTCGCACACTATTGAGAATCCCCATAACAATAAACTGCGTACATTTCTGAAATACTTTTATTGGGCCGTCAATGTTTCTGCATCAAAAAAGCGACACAATGTACCATCCTCATATATGAGAACATAAATTTTACAGTAAATCAACTTATCATAATACTACACTTGGGGAAAAACTTATTAAAGGCAACCGTGATAATAATACAATATTACCTCATCAGTTGCTGACAAGTTAGCTACTGCTTTGCGGACTTCTGTCTTCCATTCTTCTGAACCGTAATCTAAATACCATTGATCACATAAAGCAACCACTGCTTCATCACCACCACGTGTGACAACTAAATTTTCTGGCTCGTAATAAATTATAGCTTCATTCTAATGTAAACGAATTTATAAGCAAAAAAATACAATACTGTATGACTGATGCAATTAACATTATGATAATTATGACCAGGAATTTAATAAATACATCGTTATCAAGTCTAAACAATTCAATCTCTTATTCTAAGAGAATAAATAAATAAACAACCAAACTTGAATGAAGGCAGAAATTCGAATTAAGATATCGCAATTAAATTATTGTATTAGTCACATTAAATATTCTCTCCATGACAAGATATTGAATAAACAAAGTATGGAAATGTGCAAAACAGTCAAATTCTAACACTGGTTAAAAGTCATATATTACGGAATATCGTTCAAGTTATAGCTGTAAATTTAAAAAGCATCGAATTTTTCAACTAATAAATTACAAGGAATAGGACTAAAGAAATTTTAAATTAAAATATAACATAGATAAAATTAGTTCATCACATAAACTAATAAGTCTAAAAGAGTAAGATTATTTCCCACTTACCATTTCAACCAACTGATCTTGAATAACTTTTTTCACTGAATTCACCTTTAAACCTTTATATTTCTCAACCAACATAACCTAATAACAAAACAAGAATATGTATATGAGAATAAGAAAAGCCTACCCCATCATAAAAGCCAACACGATAAACTTTTTCTTTTGCCTCTTGTAATTTATCTTTATCATTTTGACTCTGAATTTTTAATTGATCCACTATTGTAACAGCTGGCAAACTACCTAAACCTGGTGTCTCAATTATAGGAATCTGAAAATTAGGATCAAATTATCGATATTATTTATTAGTAGACTACAAACCGGTTCGAACGGTATGACCATGGAATCAAGAAGATTGTATTTCTCCCGGAATGCCTATGGAATAAAAACAAAAATATTTTTTATAGAAAAACAATTTAACATAATTATTAGAAGGAATCTACAATTAACACTATAAAGTGGAAAGGTAGTAGTTTTCTTTTACCATTAGTACTATCCGAAAAATGACTCAAAAATTATACAAATTGATTTACTAGTAAAATTCTACCAGAGAACATTGCTAGTTACAAATACAGAAAATCGCGCAACTACCCTCAACACCTCTAATACACCGAATGTTATCAAAATTTTCAAAAATTTATATCCGGAAGAAAAGATGGCGAGGTAAATAATCATATAAATCAGAATCGGACCAATAATCCAGAACAAAATCTGACAACTGTGGTTATGAAAAAAAGAACCATAACAAGTGATTATCGTCCTTTGATTAGGTTAGTTATTATAACCGATATGAACAACGACAACATTTTACACGTATAAACAGACAGATTTTATTTATTGCAAGAATAAAGCTTACGCAATTACGCGTACAGTAGGTTGGATTGTCAAGTACACAAGAACACACAAAGACACTTTTAGAATGAAAATACTTCAAAAGAGACTAAACAGTACATCTCCACCGGCTTTGTGAGTTATGGGAAACTAATGTAACCTGAAAACTATAATTTAGTAAAAGTTGCCAAGATAGAAGAATTCATATTAACACCAATTTACAAACTAGATGATAACAAACTAATTTTTAAAATCTACAAGCTCATGACGAGCACCGTTGAAAGCGATTCAATTCCTGAATAGACTTTTTTTACACACAACGTTAAAATAAGAATCCATGACAATAAATGTAACCATAATAACACTAATTAATCACAATGGTTCATCCACAGTACAAGTTCGTTAAATTGACTTTAAGCCATATCATTTCAATGAATATTTTTGAGACAATAAATGCTAATTCATAAAAAATCTGTTCATATTTTTGTCGTAAAATTACTGAATAACAGAATTATTGTATCTTTACATTCTTCTAGAAGTAAAATTTTGCGCGATGCATAAACTGTTATTATGTGTTGTAACGTTATGAAGTTACTGTTGATTCCTTATGGACGTATTACTCAGTTCTTTTTCGCTTATGATGTAGTTACGTCTACACTGTGATTTATTAATTATGCTGATGTGGCCAAGATTTTACACCATATCAGTCTACAAATTGGTCAAAAACTAGAATTTTATTATTAGAAGTAATCTACTTTCCATGCTTTACCCTATTTTGGATGTCGGGAGAGCAAGAGTGGTAGAACTGTTGTTTTTCGCCAGATCAATTACGAATTAAATTGACAGTTTAAACTGAGTTGCATTCTTAAAAAGCACATCGACTTATTTAAATGAAAATTTGAATTTTATAATTTGTAAAGAAAGCTAAGTGGTACTATAAAATTCTGTCAAACAATAATAAAGATTTAAAATGAAATGATAAGAAATCAATCTCACAGGCTTTTTCTTTAAATCTCGCAAAGCTACCCAGTCATCGGGAGAATCACTAGGAACACTAGTCACAACTCCAGTACCCTTAGACGATCGGATCGACATCATTGGTAAAACAAAAACTCCGGATTCATAAGACGATAATGGAGCCTTGACTTTTAATCCGAGAAGATCAACACCTTTGAAATTTGCAATAATATCGATATGCCCAGGATATGACGGATCTAAAATATCCTGAAATTAAGTTGCATAAAAATAGAGTATTGAATGAAACAACAAATTCAGACTTTCAGAGTAGCAAATTTTTACGCTAGGACATCAATGAAGCCTTGGTTATGAAAACAGTTTAACAGCACGATGCAAGTGGAAAAGGATTTCGAAAAAAACGAAATCTCTAAAAAAATAACCGACTTGGTTTGAAGTCATAATTAGCACACAAAAGGAAATAGAAATTGAGAGCACTCTGATGATTTTCCTAAGGCTAAGCAATCTAGTTTAAAATTAGCAAAAACAGTGGTTCATCGGTTAAAGCACCTAATTTCCAACTACTGGCTTCAAGGTTCGAATTCCATCCCACGGAATGTTTTTTTAGGTTGCTTATAAAAAGTTAGCAGTGACGTAGACAATGAATATATACAAAGATAATCATATGCAGAAAATAGTGAAGTTCGAAATATGTAATTTAACTAAACCACTTGGAAGTAAAGGCTTATTTTAGTCCATTTCCTTTCAATTACATCCTTCCGCCGTATACTATACGATGAGACGGGTTTGAATAACCAAGTTTATACTACCGATGGATTGGATACTCAAACGGTACACTACACAGAGACCAAATCACGTCATTTTAGATATCCGATTCTTGACCAAAATAAGAAACTAGAGTAATCCTACACAACTACAGTTGTCACTCTCAGGGAGTCCAAAGTAGAAATCAATAAAAGAAAAGGAAACCGCATATTCGACGGTTGGTAGGCTGGTTGCCTGTTTGTTTACGATCAGTGACTAATCACATTCTAATTTCACTACCACACATCATGTTTTGGGTTCGTATAGGCTTTTTTCAACAACTTACAGTTCTAGTGTTTACTCAGTAGAATTTTAGTTGATTCCTCTACCTTATCTGTTTGACATTATTAAAAATTAAAAGTGAATGTCGTTAGTGTGAAATATTCAGCCAAGAGGTTATAAGGAAAATTACAAGTGTAATACACAGATCGCGTTTTTGCTACAGCAAATTATTTTGCGTTCATCCAGAAGGAAATGTCTTATATCAACTACTTCATCAAGTACAAGAACCTGTTATTCCAAACAAAACACGCAGGATGGTTATGAATACCATTATTAACACAGTAGCCTTGTCAGTACTATATTGTACTTTAGAAAGAATGCAACAGAAATATTGCAAGTAAAACAAACCTGATAAGCCATATTATAAGCAGCGCGTTGAGTACAAATTAGTATACAAGATTGTGCGCTTTTTACTCCGACATAATCTAGATCTGGATGAACCCAACAATTAGTTTGTCCAAACATTGTTTCAGGACGTAGAGTTGCCGCAACAAGGAATATGGGTAACTTTGAGTCGTTCAAGAAGCTGAAGACAAAAATAAGGTGAGTTTATTGACAACAAAACACAAGCGCTCGTAAGCAAAATATTTACTTTAGGAATCCATTAACCTTAATAGTCGAACTTTAAACAGAAATACGACTGAAGCGTATGGAAAATTGTAACTGTATAAACAATAAAGTTCCTTCCGGTGAAGATGAATTTTGGGTATTAAAAACCAATACAATGCTCATTTGAACAAGTGAAATTTCGTAAACAACAGGTGAAACAGATAATGCTTTTAGTGACATAAACAACTACATGCAACTGACACACGGTTCATTGTATTATGACGTTTCTTAGTATTACAGGTAGGTGTCACTTTTCAACTTGAGTCTGTAAATAAATTCTCTTTTGACCAAATTATTTTTTTATTTCACAAAATGGTTATTTTTGAAGGGGCAATAATATTCTCGTATTCATGGTATTTATGAGTGGATGTTAGACTCACTGAATTTGTCGAACAACTTTAGGAGAACAAAAATGATAGGGGATTGCTTTCAATTAGATTTATTTCAACAACAGTCGCAAAAAAGTGAAATTTATGAGAAAGTAACCATTAGTCAGACTAAAAACGATCTTACTGACCAAGGTAGTTAGAACTAACGTTACCCCTTACTTAACATGTTGGCTGATACAAGAGCAGCTTTGAAAAAATCTAATGAGCAAATCAAGACAGTCAATACACGACGTCAGTGACTAATAGTCCGAGTAATGTCGGTAGAAGCAAATATTAAGTTGGAGCTGAATCAGAAGTTTAAATGAACGGTCAAAGATAATAGTTACTTTACAGATTACGGCAAATTAAAAGTAAAATATTTCGACCAGAAAATGACTGCAGAAATAGTACTTACCTATATTTGGAAGGGAATCCGGATATCACTTGAAGCTTAATTAGTGTATATTCTTGTGGAACCACGCCCTTGAAGTAAATACAAATCAGGCTATACCGTACCTTACCTCACCAACAGTTCGCTCATGGTCCATGCATGGCTGATTATCTCGAGCAGAGAATATTGTGTACCGTTTACCATACTGAATTTTTCCTTGCTTTTTAAGGGTCAGGAACTGCCAACGAACAAATGAATCATAATAGGGATTAACGTCTGTTGTAATGAAGGATCTCCTCCAATCAACCTATTATCGGAAACATGAGGTTACTTTATCAATAATTAGTATTCAAAACAGAAATTAAACTTATTAGACGTAAAGATTAACAATAAGTTTGTATAAATTCATTTGTTGCTGTAGTCACCTTCATGCACATAAATTAAGGTACGACAGTACACTAATCAATATCAACACTGACGAGAGAAAAATTCTTGAAAAGAGAATGAATATAAAATGATATTTACTATCTCACAAATCAGTGTTACAGTTCAACATGGCTATATCTTTTTCCTGCTTCCAAAACAGTGCGGCTGTAAACAGCACCGACTGGAAGCTATGTAGACGAACCAGTTGTACCGACTTTATATATGAGGACGATGTGTGAAACAGTCGGTACGCGGGATGTCAGACAAATATCGATACGTGACCCGTAAGTATTCGATATGTGTTGTTTACATAACATGACAGAACTCGCCTTTAATAAGAAGTATGGTCAAAATATTAGTCATTGTGCATAAGTTTTGAAGCACACAGAACTAACTAAAAATGGAAATAATTTATTGAAACAGATCTGTAAATGTGACACGTTACTTTTCCAACTGATAACGCATTTGTATTAATCTCGATGAACGAATTCTGAATAATGGTTGAAATAATCATTACGGCCCTGAACTTCAGAATATACAGAATAATTAATGCTGCAAACGGATAAAGTACGTGATGACATAGTTGTGTTTGGTAACATTCACTTACCAACATCACCAACCATAAAGGATCACGCAAAAATGCACGCAGCTGGTATATTTATGTTCATATCATATTGACATATGTGAGATAAAGTGGATAGTTAATAACATATAAATACAATATCGACAACGGATAAAGGATGATGACCAGAGTACATAAAGCTTACCTTGACACCCAACTTTTGCAGGTCATCAACAGCTAACTTTGGGAAAAATTTTAACCAGTATTCAGGTTTTTTAAATTTAACTATTTCATCGTTATCCATACCTAAACTCTCCATTATTTGCCACTGAAACTTTGCGCCACCAGCTTTTGCAACAGATTTGCTTTTTTTGCTTTTACCTTGTGTGTGCGTCTTGAAAAACATCAAATTACAGATCAAACACAAATGAAACTAATACCTCCGTTTCAATCTCAGCAGAAACTTTCGAAGTCTCACTTGGAAAAACAGGTGGGCAACCAAACTCCTCACATTCTCGTGATAATTTGTCTGCAGATGCTAGGATAGGCGTACCAGTACAATGAAGACCGAAGGGCCAAAGAGCCAACTTGCCTTTAAGCCGTTCATACCCTACTGAAAACTTCGCGCATTATTAAGACGATTCTACTTACCTCGCATTTTGACAAGGAAAATGTGTGACCCAGATGTAGTCTTCCATTCATATAAGGATATGGGAAAGTAACGAAGTATTTTTCAATACTAAAAAAGAATATCATCGACTGTAGAATGTTACGTTTCATTGTTTTCTAAAGGAACATCTGCTTCGAATACTTTATTAGACTCCCAAAATGTCTGTATCTGACCCTCAATTTTGCGCAGTTCATCTAGCTTGGCAGTACCTTTTCTGGCCATAACGCGAGTACACCCAAAACTCAAATTTGTGACCACGTTGAACAATCCAATATCCAATATCTTTTTCACGAGCTAGTGTAAACCAATTTGATTTCTTCGCGCTCCATTCTTGTTCTTTCGGTACGGTTCCAGGTGTTCGGTAATGTCCAATGGATGGAGGTCTAGCCACTTGACTGTCTAATTCTAGTCAGTTGGCAGTTGGTTGTGAGTTTATATGTCTCGGGATTTGAATGAAACGTTTGTTTCAGGGCAGTAGGGTTTCTGGATACTAGCAGCCGTCACATTACCAAACCGGAGATCAGTTAGTTGCAATGTGGAGAGTAATAAGGGTAATAAGGGTAAATTAAAATGATAATATGAGTAAAATTTCAGAACTGAGTAATATATAGATGAATTTAGTTTATTAATTGGTAGTGAAGATTGTGAGAGAGGACCGGAGTGTAAGCAAGGGAGAGGAATAGGCGAGATAGATTAATTAAGTGATCTGAGGAGATGGTAATGGTAACAACTAGCAGGTCTCAAGATATACATCAGGCACAGCTTGTCCAAGAGGGAGATGATAGTTCGCATGTCAGTACGTGATTATCAAGTCTCTGCTTAAAGCAGTCCACTGAGGGGGCTGTAACTACCTCGGCTGAGAGAGCATTCCAAGTTGCGACGACTCGCAATGCGAAAAAGTGTGCACGAATCTGAGTGTTTGCTCTTTGATGTGCAATCTTTTGAGGATTGCCTCGAGGGGAGTGGTGGTGATGCATCGGTAAGATGCTCACATTGGGACGGTTTGGCGTGTTTAATATGGTGTACGCCATAATCAGGTCACCTCTGATTCTCCTGTAGCTCAGTGGGAATAATCCCAAGAGCTCATTTGTTCGTCCACTAGCCCTTCCATAACCTTTGATAATATAGGTAGTAGTGCGACTGGTCTGTAACAGGCTGGGTCCTTTCTGATCTTTCAACACACTTTACGTAATTAGTGGACGTAATTGTACAGCATTCTGAGCCTATCAGCTTAAAACACGACTTTAAAGAAAGAGTTCACATTCACATTTAAAATAAATAACTTGTTAAGTGTGTAGTGGTACCCTTTTACGAAGAAAACACGATTACTGAAATATAAACATTTATCACTGTACTTAATTCTGATAATAATTGTGATATTGAACTCCTTTTGTTTATCTGAACTAAAGGCTATCTCTCGCGCACCAAGCGTGTCTTTCCCATACCGCTGCTCTCCTCTCTTGTTTTCCTTTACTCTAGCGTTGACATTTCTATATCACGAGGCTGGCGATAAATACATTTCATCCAGAATAGTCTTTGCTTTAACTTCCGGATTATCAGGATTTATCTTAGTAGTCCCGCGAAGAAATATATTTATTTCAACTCCTTATAAGTGGATCGACTCAAAAGAGGAGTTGATCGCTCATGGTTGTAGCTCACACAGCTAGCAATTAGCCAGCAACAGGTAGCATCAGTACACTTTAATTATTTACATAATTTGTGGATGGATAACATCCGTAAATTAATAATGATTCCGCTGCTTTTGGAGTCCATATAAAGTCTATCTACATCTATATATTTACTAATATGATGTCCCAGGTCTGTGAATGATGAGATTAAAATAATTAGTTATTTTATAACTAATTGTAGTCATGTCATAACTAACCAATCAAATTGTGGTTTAAGCGCTCACCACGTGATCTGATCTGATGTGTCTGTAAACCTTCTTTGTTGTAAATGACCTACAAATCGATTGACATTATTATCTTATTATATTGATGTAACTCATAACTCTACTCATTTCCATAAAACACGCTATATTGGTCAGTACGTTTCCTCGTCTTACTTGATAATTGTAATTTCCTTATTTATTGTACTAATTTAATTGTTTTTATGTTCAGAAACAGATAAAGTTGAAAACCAAGTTGATCTCGTTCTTACTGTAGCTTTCCCATAGACGCTGTGCTCGCCAATATTGCGTTTGCCGTTCTAGAATTACATCTGTAGGACAAATTAAATCCTACAATAATAGTGATAATGGATGAGCCATAAAATATATAAATCTTTCATATCATGGTGTCAACTATAATTCGGTTAACTCTAATTGAAAACAGCAGCAATACAAACTTGAAAATATCTCTTATATTCAGGGTTTGTCAATACTTTCTTCCTTAATGACTTTATAATTGAGGATCCCGAATATTGGAAGCCGAAAGTTTGGAATGAAAGAGTTCGATGTATTTAGAAAATCGTTAGTGTGTGGAGGACTGCATGATTTAAACTGTCAAGTTGTTTCACAGGTTGCGCAGCACAACAGACTTAATCACAAAATGATGCGGATGCATTATCAAACCACTTCAGCTAGGGTGTATTCACCTAGACTGGTAAGATGAGCACCAGTGTCGAGGAGCTTGAAAACAAAATACGCGTGTTATTTTCCTCCACATCCTGATTCTCCCCTAGCTGTCTGGTGATGGCACAACACGTGACCAGTCATAAATTAACAACAGTGAGTGTCATGCTGTTAAATAATGTACCATAGAGAATATGTATTGATATACTCTAAAAGTTAAGGTTATCTTTTTTTGTTTTTGACCATTGGAAATACAATCATATTTTCGTGGATCGAATGAATCACGACAATAAACTTACGTAGTTTTGAGGAGTTCTACACTTTATATTCGGTTTAATTCTCTAGGAACATATTTTCGAAAGCGCGTTGCCTTGGGTGGGTTGTCGATACCAGGTGAATTTCTCACGGCCGTTGCTTGTCGAGGACTGCCCCTCATTTGAGCAGGCTGCGTTGTTAGAATCTGCGGTGGAAAAGTCAACATAGAAGTGGTTTCGTTCAATGCAGATGACTTTGGGATGATCGTAAAGTGGTTAGTAATAACATTTGATGAGCAAAATAAAGAATCCACAGATTTCTCTAGGAATATGAAGTGTCGTGTAGTGAAGAAGTACGAGTTCATTGGGTCAAACGCCAGTTTTCAGCGCACTTCGAAAAGAGGAGCATCGATCAATTTGCAGCGTAAAACAAATGTTTCAGTGGTTGACGAAACCTTCACCCAACCCGTTAGCTTATGTGTGGCAGGCAATCGCATGGAATGGAATGGCGTCCTACAAGTACAGTAAGTCAAGTAAGTTATATCCAGAATAAATCTGGCTTCCAGGTTCTGTGGTAACTTTCAAAGGTTCACTGTTCACGAGTAAATTGGCGACCTTTGGTCCTGTAGCTGTCATGTGATGTTTTACACTGCTCGTTACATCCAGTGATAATCGTCGTAGTTTGTTCAGGTCACTTTTCGACGATTGGTTAGAAGTACGAATATATAATTAGTTTGATCGTGACCGTACACAGTCAGCAGCCACTAAGTGAAACACTACAAATGGGTAAATTATTAGTCACATCTACTAAACTATTTATTCTGGCGGAGGGGTAGATTATGCCAATAATACATCAATTACGACAAAATCCAGTGATGAGTTTCCGTAATCCCGCTCCAAGGTAAAGGGACCTCTGGTATAATTGATGATCAGTCTTCCGTTAGGTTATAGGAAACTGAAGACCGGATTCCGATGATGACAGATTCAGTCAACATGTTCTGGTGTGACTGTTTCCACAAAGCTTTGTTGTGACGAGAGATTTTGGTTTAGGACGACTACAGATTTCCTTCTATATCTCGGCAGTTTCCCAGTGAGACACAACATGCGCCAGCTAAATCACTCTTGATTGAGATGCCTTGGAGGACGTTAACACTTTTAACAATCTGGGCAGCAGCATCGAAAATCCGGGTGGATCCGATACATATGTGAGGGCGCGGGTCGGTAAAGCAAGGGATGCATTTCACGAATTAAAGAACATATAGAACTCCAAACAACTATCATTCAACACAAAAATCAGGATTTTCAATACAAATGTCAAAACAAATCTACTGTGTGCAGCGGAAAATTAGAGAACTACGAAAGCCATAATCCAGAAGATACAAGTATATATGAACAGTTGTCTTCGCAAAATACTTCACATTCATTGGCCAGACACCATCAGCAACAAAGTACTGTGGGAGAGAACAAACCAGATTCAAGTGGAGGAGGAAATCAGGAAGAAGCGGTGGAAGTGGATAGGACACACACTACGAGAAGCACCTAACTGCGTCACGAGACAAGCCCTCACATGGAACCCTCAAGGCAAAAGGAAAAGAGGAAGGCCAAGGAACACATTACGCCGAGAAATAGAGAAAGACATGAGAGGGATGAACAAACATCGGACAGAACTGGAGAGGGAAGCTCAGGAAAGAGTAGGTTGGAGAAAATTGGTCAGCGCAACATGCTCCATCAGGGTTAGTAAAGTAAACGAGTAATGGTATTCCAAAGACTTGTTATTTCATTCGGCGTCGGCTGACGAGGAGCTGCTGACTCTGGTGATCTCCAGTTAATAAACCTACGATGCTTCTTTGGAATAGAACAAAACTGTCTTGACCGGTCGGGGAAGCCTAGGTTGAAGATTTATATAGCGATATTACATTTTTGGTACTTATTTTCAGACCGTCGAAAATACAATTAAACAGCGCGAATCGGACTAATCAATAAATTATCGAATAATTATTCACACACTTCTACCTTTTTGCTGACGAGGTATTTCCTAATTCATGTTGATATAAACTATCTGTATTTGAGTATCTGCTATAAATTATTTTATGATTTGATTCACAAATGATCTCTTCACATCCCGAAAAAAGTTAGTGCGGAAGTGACTTCACAATTTCGGTAGGCAGAGCTAAGTACATTACAAATATCTGATGTCAAAATTTTAAGCATGATATCATGGGTTAAGTGCGAGGCTGCATGGTCGATGATCAGCACCTTAGGCTCGGTTACAATCGGCACAAAGATGTAGATTTAGTTAGTTTCATATTTGCTCCGTCTATTCTACTACATGAATCTGAAGTTCATGTCATTTATAAGTCAAAAAATCCACGACTCGTTTTTAACCTGGGACTTGT